TTGTGAAATCATTTTTGGGATCACTGTCAGGAGTGGCTCTAAATACAGAATGACACAACATATTTAAAATTTAAATGTAATTTAGGAAAGCACAAGTTGTTACAATGATGCAGGCTGATATCAGAGTCACATCATATTGTTTTCCAATAGGGTGTAATCAAAATCACAAAATATAAGTTTGGAGAGGATATCAATTTACTTGTCAGTTTTTCATGTTTTTTTTTTAACCCAACCTTCAATTTTTCCAAGAGAAATGACCCAATTTGCCAAAGTAAAAGAAACTGCATTTATCTGAATTAAATGGTGGTATTCTTGCCTTTCCTTTGTTTTCCAAATCATTGAATTAATCTATATTTCTGAAACACTGAAGTAAAATGTATTGTCTGTATTAATCCAACTTTTCAGGATAGAAATAATTTGATTCTTCAGAATGTTAAAAAATGAAGTATTCTCCTACATTTATTGGATGCCTTCGTTAATTTCTCATGTAGAAAAATAACTTTGAAAGTAAAAATAAACAATCACAATAGTATCCCAATAGACTCTGGACCAAGTCAATAACATCACAATGGAAATTTCACTAGTGAAATACCATTGTGATAATAATAACATTTTTGGTAACAATTGTCACTCCTACTGGCTAGGAGAAAGCTATGTCTGTGGTCAAGTCATTTTCTAACTCAATAAAATTGGTTGAAATGAAATTAAGTCCATTATTATTTTATTTGAAACACTACTGTGAAACTCACGCTAAACGTTCCTTGCTCTCCTCTGGAGACAAATCTTCAAAATCATGAGCCTCCTCCTTGCCAAGAAATGCTTCATGATCATAGTCTTCATTGTGCTCACTGTCGTCATCATGAGGTAGGTCACTGAGTTTCTATGGGAGAAATACTTTGGTATATTACAACATATTACAACAAATTTCTTAAAATATGCTCTCTTGGCTAATCTGTTTTGTGGGGGAATTTCGCTATCCCAATCTCTCCAAATTTTTAAAAAACAAGCCTACAGTTAATGCTGCATGCGACACTCGTCCCCTGCTGTTAAATAGAGGATCTTACATGAGTGTCAATGTATTATGGAATTCATTGAACGAGTTTAATAAATTCCATGATACATTGACACGAATGTAAGATTCTATATATCACATAACCAATTAAAATGGAAAAATTGCCAGAAAACTACAATTTACTTCCACTATGCAATCAGCTGTTTCTATATAGGTCAAAACCAACGCACAGTAATCATAGTTTTATCCATCCGTGCTGCAAATAGTACCTTTTTTCAATGATTGAATAAGAGATTGTTATGTTCCAAAATAATATTGACAAAGTAAAGCATTTAAACTCTGTTTAATGCCAAAATAACTTTAAAAAATCACACAAAAAAATCTTCTGGAAATTCACTTGATATTGGTAACATGACGTCACTCGCCTCGTCATCACGGGTCATCAGGTTCAGCCTAACTGCTACAGTTACTGCGAATCACTGTCACTTTCAATGATAGTTTTTCATTTATTTCTGGTAACTCAAAAAAGTTTCATGCCATACAAAGTTTTGCTCAACGTATTCTTGTTTAATTGATCCTGTATAAACTTCCTACCTCATATTCTCTGATTGAAACCAAACCACTTGGTTTAGGGGCAACAGGACCGCCATCCGGAGCGGTCGTCTGCTGTTGGGAGGGATCTACCACCTTTTCAATACGATTGCGCTCAAGCTCAATTTGAAAGTCAATCCCACACAATTCAACATTATAAAATACAGCAAACCCCCCGTGGGATTATCTCCTTCACCAAACCAGTCCCCTTCTTAGCAATAAAAACTGTGTCGCCAATGTTGATCTGGTCAGCCATATTTTACTACAGTTTGTTGTCATAATAAATAAAAGTAGTACGTGCGTGAGCGTATGAATACGTTCACACGGTTTTGACCAATCAGCAGACCCCAAACCTTTATTACACATGTGTATTACCATTATTATGACATGGGCGTATGACATGGGAAAACGGGTCGGTTATGTGATAAAAAGAATTCTAAGCAATCTAGAATTTTATAGCATTTTGTATTACCCCACAACCAACATGTTATGAAGCTTCATAAAATCCATCCATCTTTTCTCAAGTTATCGTCTGTTAAACCAACATCTGGACGGATGGAGACAAACATGATAGTCTCCTTTGGTTTCACCAAGGGATCTAATAAAACGTTATAGATTTCACTGTAAGCATTAGTAATATCTATTTTTCTAAATTTAATGGTAATAGTTTATACTAAATGTAAATTTGTTCTATGGTTTGATGTTTTCTTCTGGTGTCATACTGACAGTTATGTTGATAGTAAATGTATTTGGTCTTATTTCACCTGGGGATATTTTTGTTCTTGAAGTCTTAAGACTACAATACAGAAAACATCAATATTCCCATTCCCTATCTTTTGTTTTATAATAAATGTGTTTAAGGATTCATGAGATATATTCGAAATTGATCGAGGGCGACCTTTGACCTTGATCGATACCCACCATATCATCTGATCTGGTGAAGATCTTGACATTGTGATGTTGAGGTGAGTATACATACTTTAAATAAGTCCAAGGTTTCACAAGATATCTTTTAAACAAGCTTTGTACGCATACACACAAGATTACTACATCCCCCTGAACTAAGTGGGAGGTCCTTACCGAGTGGCAAGAATAACAGATAACACATATGTAATTTGAGACATATTTGCCCAGTACTAACTTCCTCAGATATCTACAAAAGTTTTTAAGTAATAGTCAAACATCAACTGTCAAAATTCAAAATGGCTATCACCAATGGTACATAAGTAAATCAAGTTCCATGAAGAACACTTTTTTTATAGTTCTTACAAAATAATCACAGTAAATTCAACTTCCAATGTCAAAATCAAAATGGCTGCCATATCTAAAAGGATCACACGTCTTTGTCAAAATCCAAAATGACTGCAGGCAGTCATCTTCAATATTCCTTCATGCTTAAATGTGACATGCACAACTTATTACAGAAATTACATTGACTTTTAAGAAAAACTTACAGTTTCATGTACACGTTTTTCACCTGGCTTTGGGATGGCTGAACAGTATACTACCACCATCAGCACGACAAGGAGACAGACTGTCAACAGCTTCATGGTCAATGGACGACTGGACATCTGAATATCAAATGTAATACTTGTACTTGCAAAAATGAGGCATAGAGACAAAATGATATATATATAGATTAAATACAAAGCATTAGCAATTTATTTAAATCAGCTTTACAAAATAAACATAAAGCCACATAACCACAAACAAGTGTTTATATATGCCTGGGGTGTGCATGATGTGCACAGTCTGTGGGCTTCTGAAAAGTTCAACATTTAATATGAAAATAAATAATACTAAAGTTTTTCATAAATCGGTCATACTGCATGAATCTTTGCACTTTAAATATCAAATATTAAACCTATAGGACTTATTTTCTTATAGCACATCTGTCATATTAGTATAGCCCTTGTACTGATAGACTATCCCACCTAACAAATATTTATCTGAGTAATATTCAAAGGCTTCAAAACTTTTGTTTTATAAAAACTCAAGTGTATTCTCAGACTAAACAGATACTTATAAATCAATGGATTAAAATCTATTAACATAAATGAGACTTAAGAACAATGATCTTTTCACGGATACACTACCAGGTACCTGATTCAGTAGCCAGTTTACTACTTAATGACTCATTTTAGGATAAAATCTTGGCACCTCTTGCAATGAGATCAAATTTCAGCTGATGCAATTATTAACAAAGTTGCTGGAGAAAGGCATTATTTAGGTCAATACGCTTCTTTATTCACAACACATCACTTTTTTCTTAAATCATTCATCAATGTCTCAGTTGCTGCCCATCAATGTATACTTAGAATGTAGTCATATGGGCACTACTACTTGTATGTTTTTTCAGTTCTAAAGTAAAAATGAATCCAATAGGAATTCATTAATAAGATGTTTTCTGAAAAAAATCTTACTTAACTCATCAACACTTTTTCAGCTTTTAATTACATGTATCCTTGTACATACATATTGAATGAATGCTTCTAAAGTTTTTTATATCTACTATGGAAATGAACTTTTATCTCAGAAAAATTTTGATGCATATAACTATCGTAAAAAAAAACCCAAACAAAACAAAAATACAAACAAAAAAATCTGAACATTTACAACTATATTGAATAATAAAAGATTGCCTAATTTCTATGTATTTTGTGAACAATGCTTTTTACAATAACTTATGGTACCTCTTATTTTTTGATAAATACAAGTTGTGATTTAAAATAAATATTGTAAATGCTGGTTTAATATTTTCTAACTTTGACTTTTAAAAATAAGTATGATAAATCATGTTTACAATGGGAATTAAAACTATACTTTACATATCTATATAAGCCAATATTTAATCTATTATAAATTTTCTTCACCTTCATTTCTAGATTTCTGATTATTACTTTTATGTCTGTATACAAAAATCATTATTAAAAACGAAAGCCTGTTGATTATTCATTCAGTGTCTTTCTCGTAACAACTAGGTAAATAAACTAGAAAAAACGAATTTGTTTGTTAAAATATGCAGAAGAAAACACAATCAAAGAATAAAAGAATCACACTTGCATCACTGAAATTAAAGAATGACTTGATACAATCTGTATGTCACATAGACACAAAGGACTAGCCATCTTAACTCCTTTCACAGATTTTTTCCCTTACAGACCTATTTTTTTTAAATTATAAAAATTAATCTATTTATTTAAACTGTTTTGAATTTATTTTACAACAGAGTAGAACAATTAAAATATAAAGCAGAGGTACATTTTTTTCCTTTTGATGAAGCAAATCCCAGTAATATCAAAGCGATTAAATGAAAACTGACTGCCTTATAGTCGTTCTGTGGTTCAGCCTCATCAGCTGATGCAACCACGTAGCTGAGATGTTTGACAATAGAGCTCTCTGAACAAGTACAGGCTGACGTGGCAATACCGATCTAGACTTCATGTATTGCATTCAGCACTACGTCAGTTAACGAAATAAACTTCCCTTAAAACAGAATAAATTCTTCACATTTTCGGCTACAACTAACTGTTGTCTCTGGCGATCTGTTGATATATTAAGCTAAACAATAGCAAAGAAAATCTTCAAATTAACTGTACAAAGACGGCTCATCTCGGATCTAGAGACGCCCTTCTTCGCTTCCTCAGTCCGCTTCGTTCCATTAAAAAGCGGGGAAAATAAATTAGAATTATGAAATGAGTAATCATAAAAATTATCATGGACGAGTAGTTACGTTATGTTTACGTTGTCAGTAAAAGTACCGGTAAGTTTGTAACTCTTAGAAAGATGCTGAGATGGACGTACGTAATTCAATTCCACTTATAGCAACATACCTTTGCAAATCCAGAAAATATAAAGCCTTCGGATGTTCAAATGTCACTAGAAATGATGCACAATCGACGAACGATGCGTAGAACCGCCCTGTAAATGTTACTGTTAAATTTTGATACTTACAGAGTTATGGCACGTTGTGAATTTAGCCCGAGGTCCCTTGAAATTAACCTCATGTAAACCAACTATAAACCAATCAAAAAAGATAACAAAAGCATGTGACTATTTCTATCCAATCAAGTTCTGTCAACGTGGAGGTGGAAGTCTACGGTCAAAACCAAACACTCATGTAACCGCACACATCATTGGATATCTTTTCAGCATCCGGTTGCCTGCGTGGCATTGAAATTCGATATGTCAAATAACATGAGAGGGGCCATGGGGTTTAAAGATGATGTATTCTTAATCATAATGTAAAAAGTTGCATTATTGAGTATCGATACAACGCAGCGCCATTAAATTTGAATCAATGACACACAATTCAAAACGTTTCGCATAATCATCTACAATCACAACGTTGTGATAAAATTGCTTACTTTCGTTTTGCTTAGTTTTGCTCAAGTCCGGATTAGAAATACTGTTCTGTGAGCATCACATGAAAGTTATGAAAATGTCACTGAGATAAATTCTCTGTCTTTATAATAATTTGTGAAGTCCGATATCCTATTATGAATTACAACAAAGATTTAACATCAATAGCGGGATCAACAACATCTAACGTTAACTACAGTTTGAAATATCAATGTTTCTTTTGAAAAAGGAAATGGAATGCTGTTTGTCCCTTATTCTTTCTATTTATGATAATAGAATTTACACTGAAAGTTTAACATAAGAAACAATTTTAGCCCCTTAATATTACTGACGAGGGGAATAAGGGCGAAAGTGTTGTAAGGTACTTTTTTTTAATTTAAGGACCAAGTTTTTTTTTTAAGTGTGATAAGTTTAAGGACCAAGTGACGTTTTCCTACTTCTTTTGGGAGCAAAGACACGTCCACCATTCACCTTTTGCTGTATTTCTTGTGTGGGGTTATATAAAGTCGTCTGTGTGGGTATACAGTTGTACACAGCTTCACTTAAAAATCAATGCAACTAATAAAACCAACTTGTCAAGAAGTATTCATGTTTAAAATAACAAATTACGTAGCAATATTTTCACGAAAAAGCTGAAATATGGTGAGATTTTGAAGCTACTGGGTTAATTTGCTACTACATTGGTTTCTACTGGATAATATGGGTTGTCCCCTTAACGCTAGTTGAGTCGTAGGCACGTGAGCGCACTGGTAGAATGGGGCCAGTCATGGATAAGTGATTTTATCACATTTAGACTCGGAGACCCGTGCAGCCGTGGTTATAAAGGTATTTGCTGTGGCCTACATGTATATTACACATCTACTAGTCCGTAATAATACGGTACATAACACGTCGGACTTATATCGAATTTGAATCCGTGATAGCATAAACATCCATGCTCAAAATCACAAAATCTGTTGAATAAAAACATCACATTTTATTATATGAGTGCACATGGTCAGTTATTTCGGAAGACTCGCCAGTAAAACCACAACTGACAATCCCTGTGGTTCACCTAGACATTTGTGAACTAAAGCCATCTCTTTCATGGGTTAATTTTTTCATCGTCTGACCAGAGACGTATATGTGATATATACATCTCTGGTCTGACTATGTCCTATATGATTTCACACATTACTACAGTCAATATACGAAGAAATCATCTGATTTGGTCAGGTTGCGTATTTAAACCAAATAAAACTGCAAGAACTGATGCTTCTATCCAGAGACATATATAACACATATACGTCTCTGTTCTATCCAATACATAGTACATAGCAAATCTCAAAATCCTTGAATCCGTACATTTTATTTTTCAGGAAGATTTATAACTTACATTTATTAATTAGCTGTCAATAAGTCAATTCATTTGTGTTATCCATTTGCTTGGTTTTTTCTAGCAACAAGTCCGTGATTTTTGCAAGTCCGATATAAAGATATACAAGGTATTAAATGCGATACTAGCCCGCCAACATAATTCAATCTTCTTTTAACCAAGTTTTGAAAGTCAGCTATGTCAGGTAAAATCAGAAACGATTTCTACTTTTCCTAGTTGTTTCAACTGAATTAACAATGCAGTTACACTACACATATCGTCAGAGATGTCTCTGATATCGTTAAAGAAACTGCAATACAGATTGTCTCATCAATAATTGAAACTTAATACACATTGGTAGTAACAATACAGTTACATTGTATATACATCATTAAAGAAAATACAATACAGATTTTCCAAACAATACTTGATTTTACATTTACTTTGGTAGTAACATTGCAGCTACAATATCTATATATAACAGAAAAGATACTATATTACATGATGGCCCTACAATAATTTAGCTATTTTTCCAATAAAGAATCTTACATTGTTGATTAATTTAACATTTCTTAAGGTAAACATGATCTTCATTTTGTGTAAATTTGGGTATTCAACACGTCGTAATTGACACACACTTGGATTATCACATTTAAATATATACATGTATAATGAAATTCGTTACCTGCTTCCTTAGTACATTAATTGCAATCTTCTCGCGGAATTCCTGTCCATCTACCTGTGTCCACTGGTAAATTAAGATTGGATGAGCGAAATTTACACACAATATTTCTGTTTTATGGTTAAGTTTCAAAAGATATCATTTCCAAAGTTAACTTTTGAAATAGTATACTTGACCACGGGCTACTCATTTTCAATATCATCGGACCATCTTTGTATAAAATGGTCTTGAAGTTGTACTAAATGCTTCAAGCAGTTTTGATTCATCGCTGTTACATTCTGATAAGACCAAAATAACTTAAACTAGTATCATAAAGTATTTGTTGTGCATAACTGATCCATTTAAAAGTCATTCCACCCCTTTTCTGTAACTGAAAAACTAACTTATAAATACATGTAGATACTTTAGAAAAGTACCATTCTTAATTTTCTTTGCGCTTCTAAAGGATAACGTCCAGTATCGCTCTAAATTATGAAATAAGGAGTAATTTTCCTCAGGTTAAGATTTTTTTTGAGAGAACTGAAAGTGGAGTTTTTCATCTATAGTACAGTTTTCAAATCCCCAAATTTGTAATAGTACAGTAATGAAGGAGATATCAAAATATCAAATAATTTCAGTTGTAAATCAACTGGTCTACTATTTTCCCATAACAAGCTTGTTCTGGGAACTTGACTTACAGAAGTTACCACTAGTTAAATAATAATCCCAAGTATCAATGTGAGTCAATAGTTTCAAGTTGTTCATCTGAAAATGTAAACCTAGCTTGATTCCTACAATTCCTTTTTGCAAATATTAATTATTTTTGTGAGTGTATTTATTTAACTTTCAGATTTCAGAATAATCTTTTAAAATATTTAGTGCTGTCTGTAAACCTTTAGCATATTCAAATAGAGTTGCCATGTCATCTGCATACTAGGGAATATACATTTTCAAAAATATACCAATATTTTCTTCTGGAATCTAGAAGACAACTCATTTCTGATAGGACGGATGGGGAGCAGAGATATAAAAAAAAGGACTGCCGTCGAGCGTGAAAGTTAACTGCTCTGGGGCATATAGCCTATGTCCTTGGGTCAGTGTGTGTTTTACAGCCATTACCTAAAGACCAATTCGTCCGATAGTTATTATCACGGAACTGATTACACAAATCAGTTATAGAAATATGGATATTGACCGATGCTTAATTCTTTCCATTACATTCGCACTTTTACATGTATTCCAAGCAATTTAACCGAGATATATTCAAATGATGTGTAATAGGACCTTATAATGTACATGTAAGCTATCAAGACATTAAGAATCCGATTTTTACTGGTCTTTGTGATCATGGTATTAAAAGGGGAAAAAAAACCTGACTAACATGCACGTTAATTCAGGCGCACAGATATTGCTACAATATAGTATTGTTTGAAATAATATCTTGTAAATCATAGATTTATCATGCAGAAAATATGTAGTGCGCCCCTTTTCTACTTTTTAAAATGATGAACAAGTTTGGCTTGTTTGGCATGATGGCTTGTTTTCAGTGCCTTCATTATTTTTCTGCTCGATTTCGACTCGACTCATATTTTAAATTTTTGTACACAATTTTTTCACATAAGTTTTTGTCATTTTTTGCTCATTTTATTACATTTTCTTATCATTTTCACCCTTTTTGGTATTTTTTTGTCGCCTTTACCGTTTTTTTCGATCACCTTTGACATATTTGTTCCTCATGTTCTGTTTGGTCATTTTCTTCTACACTTCCGCTCTCGTTTAACACACACATTGTCATAATTTTATTTTCGTGATGTGTTCCACTTCTGCTAATCTTGGTATATTTTCTTATTTATTTCGAAACTTAGTTTTGTGTCAATTTTGGACAGTTTTTCGTTCGTATTTTAATTCTTTTTGTCATGGTTTTACTCATATTTTAATGTCATGCAAAGATGAACGATATGTTTTGCAAAACGATGATAAGCATGAAAAATGGACAACATCAGAGCTCTGTCGTCTGTGGTCCATATCTGGTTCTCCGAGAAAGCCAGTGCAAATACATATTGTGCAAACACGCCGATATTTGATAACAGTCCAGATACACTGTACAGGCATGCCAAAAATCGATAACGTCGTGAAAATGAATTCGATAATCCTAACACGCACTGTACATACATGCCGAAACTCGATGACGTGAAACCTAATCCGACAGTCCAAATACATCATTTCAACTATCCCAATCCTCCTCATGATTTCTGCAATAGAAGAAACTCAACCTCTCCAGCAATGTAAGAATCTCAGAGTATTTCTATAAAAAATCGGTATTTCTCTAGGTAACTCCAGAAAGGTTCAGAGAGATATCAAGTTTCCTAACAAGGCTGCTTTTTGGGGGGACTGGCAGCCATCTTGATTTCCTTTTTTCAGAAAGTGAAAGTAAATCAATTTTCAGACACATCCCCTGTAGAATCATGATATCTTCCCGGATTTAATGATAGACCTATCTGAGCACACGAAGCAAAAAACACCGAGCAGCTCTGAAAAGTACCTGGCGCAGGCTTTGAATTCTGCGGCCCAACGGGTGAAGGGCTTGTGATAAAGTCTTAACAACTCGGTCCTGGTATACAGAGCTAAATTTGAATGGTTGGCAATACGATACATTGTCCTTTATACAGCAACATCACCGGAAGACAAAAAACAATGACGACAGAAATAAACATATTCCCGAGAGGGACTGTTGAAATTTTAAAGAATAAATCATTCAGCTACCAGAATGGTGAAAGTGTGACAAATGGACAGAAGAATGGAAGGACGGGACAAACAAAATATTCCTCCACTTTTGAATGTTGTATGAGAATGAATCATATGAATATTTTAAGTTACAAACATCATCTACCAACGACGTCAACTTTTTGCAGCCCCATGTACAACGGTATCCATTTAGGCGGAAACTGATTCATTTGTTGGAAACAAAGGATTGAAGGCTCATCTTTGTGTAACTTTTGTGACAGTCTATCGTTTATATCAAATTGCATGTCACTGACATTCATTAACAGCGTAGAAATATAATTTACCGAGTTTGTAAAATGGTAAAAGCTAAAGAATGATGCTATTTTTACTTAGTTGCTTCGCTTCGTGTGTATCAATTGCTGTAACATGTAAGGCAACAACCACGCCACAATTCGAATCCGAACTCCCGACTCCCCTTAACGTAGACAGACATTTATGAATCGCACTACCAATTTTAAACATAAACAATGTTCTGCCCATGTGGCTAAAAATGCGGTGTAGTATAAACATCTATTTGTCTTCCTTTTACAACACAAATAAATTAAAATTTCATTTTGTCTCTTTTTGGTCGGCGTAAGTAATCCCAATGCTTCTACTCTAGATCAGCACCGTTTCTAATTAAAATGGAGATAATTTAAACCAAATTGTATATCTATATTTCAAAATTCAATTTCATCTTTCTTTTTGAAAATTGTGTAGTGAATTTTAAACATTTTTTTTCCTAACAAACTGTGTTTAAAAAAAAGAGCGTGTTTCTTCAGTGCTGTCCCAGTGACGGATTCAGTCGATGGCAAAATGTCTCTTTTTTTGCCTCAAACCACCTCATCTCATTTCTAAAATCATATATACGCCACTGTGTTCTATATAACTATCTATCCAGTCAATGACGGCGAAAGGAAACAATCAAGCGCACAGAGAGCAGGTATTGCCTACATTGATATCAAGCAAAAATCATGAATTTTCAGCATTCAGCATTACAGGTGCAAACATTCAAAATAACAACATATTCATGCAATATAAAAGCAAAAACCTTACTAGAAGGTAATGTGGATGTTAGTCGCTAATTAAATATCAGCGTTTCCAGTTCTAGCCACGAGGAGGCCTCCACAATAAGAATCTTTTTTATTTCTTTTTTTTTTCATGTTTGAAGAGAAGTGAAAATCTTACAAATCGACTTGTATCAGTTCTAATTTTACAAGATGCTTGACTTGAATATTCGTCTTTTGTTTTGCATCACAAATCTTTGGCAGATTGCACTTGCATTGATGGTTCGTGCATGACGTAAGTGGATGAGGGCTAGCGATGACAATCTATCCTCATTCATTGTACTGCGCATATAGCTTTTAATGCGGCGAAGTCCAGAAAATGAGCGTTCGGCCTCACAAGAGGTGACAGGTAAGGTGCAACCAATGTGAAGAAGTGTTTTGATGTCTGGAAAGATGTCCCCGTCTGTAATTTTGTAAGTATCTAAAAGATTGTCCGCTGTGATGCCCTTTTCATCGTGTTTCCCACAAGCCCTCTTCCACTCCAACAAATGCCCTTGTAGATCTTGTGAAGATGAACATCGCAAATCTGAATCCCAGAAGAAAAAATTCTGAAGAAAATTTTTGTATTTCAGAATCTGACAGGGTCAACATTTGCTTAGGAATCAGACAACCAAATGCATATGCAACACTGTCATCTTTGTGAAATCTGTCATTGAGCGCTCAGTTGATAAATGATCCAGAAATGTAACAGCTGCCGTGGCTTTGTAATATTGTTACGGACAGAACTACCAATATTTGTTCTCTACCACATGTTTTCGGGATCTTCTCTTCTATTTCAAGCTCGTTTGCGATTCATTTGCAATCTTCATACCAAGTTTCAAACTCAACATCTACTCATTCTCTCATCTCTTTCACTCTCTCATTACGATTAGTAAACAGTGTACGGGCTTCGTACACGTCCAAATCACGTTTCTGAAGTTTTGGTGCAAGGGATTTGAGTGTCTGCAGAACAGCCCTGACGCAGATGAACATAACCAAAAACCGGTACGACATCGGAGTAGCCAGCAATCCTTCTACTGTATTTGAGAATCCTCAAGCTCTGGGTTTACGATGGACCGGAGACTTTCAACGATGGTAGTATACATGTTATAGAATACATCATAGCAGGTATGACGTTCTACCCATCTTGTTTTACACCAACCTAACAACTTTTTACGCTTTGATTCCGGGCCATGATGTTGAAGAACATGTTCAAAGAAACGTTGCCTTTTGGGCGAGACATAGAAGAAAACGAATGTGGCATTTACCCCATCTGTCATATTTTTCACAAAAGGTATCTTGCACGCGTGAGCTATGCGCACGTTCAGAACGAGACTGTTACAGTGTGTGTTAAGGGCATGTTGATTGATAGACTTTATTCGAGCCGCCCAAGTTGGCAACCTACTTTTTCTGACGACATAGCTGCTGCCCCATCGTACGCCTGGACCCTCATTTTAACAATTGGAATATTGTTCTCTGTTAAAACCTCTACTATTTTATTTGCAATTGTTTCCCCAGAAGTACGTTTCAGATGGAGAAAGAAGAATTCTTCTCGAATACATGGCTCACTTTGACTTTTATAAAAAAAATTGCACATACCAGGCCTAGGGGAGATAATTCATTTTCCATTATCAATTACAATGTCCATGCCCTGCCACGATCATGGAAACAGTTTGATGGCATTGAACGATACAAGAATTCTATATTTTAATGTAACTATGCTTGTAGGTGTGGATTACTTTGTAATATTTTCAGTAGTTTGAAATATTCACAAATGTATTTTTAATTGTTTGATTTTTAGATGTGCTATAAGCGGCACATTTTTTAAAACTTTTGTTTTTGGATTTGTTTTCTATCGTCTGCACCAGACAAACATCAACCATGGATATGGTTTCATTGGTAGACAGATTTTCGAACTTTTTATTAACAATAGAATCTTGGACAAAAATTGGTAAGAAATCATTGCGTTTTTCGGATACATTGTAGTATCTCTTATGGTTGTATTTTAATTTTATACTAGTGGAAATTAAGGAGAAAGTTTTGACAGCGGGAAACTTTATTCCATCATCCATGTTATCTTAAACATGATGCAATGGGCCTACAGTAATCTTGCTTATAGACATGTAAAAGAGGTCAGTATTCATTAAATTGCTTCGTCTAGCATTCGTACCTGTGCCATTGGCTTAGTAGTCTTGCGCTCAACTGATCGAGCTAAAGAGAAATAGCCTATCGCGGCTACTTTGTTTTTATCAGGGTTGCAGATATGAGGCGTGTTTGGATGTTTTCGGCTACTTCGTTACTTAGTGCAGTAGTCTTTACAAAGATGTAGTTTAATTGTTATGACCCGTGTTAAGAGAATAGAAAGTTTTGTCTTCCATATTATTAACGTTTGAGACGTTGAGAGGAAATTCATTTTTGCGATGCATTCCATTGCTGGATGGGACTAAGGGGCCCTGGGTCCCTCAAAACTAAAATTGATACATCCCAATTTCCATCAAATTACATTGCTTATTGCTCTGAACACCACACTGTTTTTTCTACACTTATTTTTGGTTGAAATTTAACACAAGACATCCGTCTGTCAACTGTCTTGTGTCTAGCATGTTGGAACCCAGAGAAACCTCCAGCTAATGGTTTTGATTTTTATACATAACCCAATAGGATATTTTCATTTCAGCAATTAAGCCTAGTGTGTGGTTGTATCCCCATCTGCATAAGCCATACCACGATTTTTGGATTGCAACTGAAGCATTGTGGAGTTTTGGCTGCAAACAATCATGGCAAATCCTATTGTGCATCTCTTTGGTCACAGGATTCATTTTCATGTTTACTCTGCTGAGATATTTAAGAAAAGGTCAGTGTTAATTGAAAAATTGTTTTGGAAAAAGACCTGCAGGTTGATGAGTTATAAAAGCAAATACAAACTGTTATTTTACATATTTGATTAGTTTATAATTAGCAGGGATATTGATTAGATGATATGGTATACAGTGACCTGCCATAAATATTTCACCTTTTTTGTTATTTTACTGTATATTCTCTTATATTTAATGTTTCAAACCTTTTTAAATGAAATTTCCTGATTTCATTCTTGAATAATTTTTCACGAAATTTTGTATCCGTACAGAGAATTGTTTTCTGTTTCATCTCCTACTATTTTCATTGTTTTCTTCTGTGTATTAAATGGAAAATAGTCATATCTTTGCATCATACAATTTTGGGATGCTATTTTGACGTCATTTGATAGGAAATATATCCATCATGGGAAATGAAAATGCCGTGAGAACCCACCCAGTGGTCTTTTTGTTCTTATACCCTGTAACATGTTGTCACAAAAATTAGCAATGTAGATCATTTTGTATCATTCCTGGAATAAACTATGGAAAATTAAAAGAGTATTAAACTATGGCTTTTATTGCACTTATAGGACAAAGAATTGTCAGAATCAATTCCTAAATGAAGTCAAGAAAATTCATTGAAAAAAAATCAGAAATATGAAAAATATATCATTACCTGAAATAAAAACCTTTTGAAGAAAATGCCAAAGTTATTCTATTTCTTATGCATAACATATTAAAGAAATTTTGTCATGACCACTGAAATTACAGTGTAATGAATTTATAATGAACCTCAGTGACCTTAGAATAATTGTAATTATTGTAGGACAGCTCTTCTGCATATTCTGATATTTATGAAATGATCAATTACTAAGCATCAAGATGCAGATGACTTCAGACATTCATATTAATTAAGAAGATATTCTAAACAACTACAAGAAGAATCGCACGAAAAGACTTTCATTTTTTGTCATAGTCTTTGATTTGTGATGTGATGTATTTTTCTTCACATGTCTATTTTAAACAATTATGATGAATACATTATTCTTTAAGGGGAGAGCACTAGAAGTTCTGCTGTTAGCAACATTCCACATGTCTCTAATTGGAGTGTTTTTGACTTAGCCAAGGTAAGTAATTTGATAAATATTTTTAGGTTACTATGATCCAGACATTTCCATACTTAACTCTGTTCAATGCCTACAGCAGCTATGATATAAACAAAAAATTCCTTTCAAGGCCATACTACATAATGATTTTCAAGTTTCGTCAAATGCATATCAATGAAATGTTAAACTGTATGATGATGTTTGAAAATACACCAAATATATATTGAAAAATGTGAAAGACAATTTGCTATACTTTGGATGTATTTACATGCATAAAAAAACCAATATTGAAATGGCCTGAAAAATTAATTGTTTCTTTCGGATTAATGGCACTTAAGCATTGGAGAAAAACACATACAATATTTGCACAAAAAAGTGGTTATTTCAAATTACTACTTGTATTTAAAAAAAGTTTTAGAACAGATAGTTTATCTTCTTAGTTTAACTCTCTGGGCTTTCCATTGACACCTCAGCTTTTCATCTCTTGTAATCTCTTGTATCTGGATATTATTGAACTCTGGAGAGAACACATCTTCACAAATGTTTTCTCTAGGTATAAAACAAATAAATATATGTTAAAATAATGAATGTGTTTTAGACTGCCTACCGGCCTGGCCACACTGAAGCTATTATGATGTTAGTGAACCAGTTTGGATATGATGTGAACTATATCATCCCTTCCACAGGTCTCTCCTTGTTCCTGGTGGGTAACAAACAAGATAAGTTAATCGTGAAAGCAAAATCTTACATATTTACATATTGGGTCTTGATGTTTAATTAAACGGTATCAGAAAACTTGCATGGTTAATACAACTTCTGTGTGTTGCCTATTTTCTTTTTTGACAATGGAAATTAATTTCTTTCCTCTGTACCAATGAAGACTTCTATCAGACTAGATGTGTTGATTTGAATGATATATTTCCTGTCATAAAAAGAATTTTGTAATGTTTGGTTGACCATTGTCCTAAATGTAAAATGTATATAAGTATAGATTAAAAGGTTAACAGTATTCTTCATGAAAATAAGCGGTTAATCAATTATTATAGTTTATTCATATCTAAACAGTGCACCTGTCTTAGTGGAGAGAGGGCTGCTATTCAGTACATGCTAAAGCAAGGTGAGTTGAACATCAGATTTTAAATCTATTTTGTGATACAATATACATGTACAAAACCTGAAAAATTTTCTGCCTGGAATATAACAAAAAGATGTAGAAATTCATAAAAACTTTTTATTTTGCTTTTAATTAATATTGGCAGTACTTAATGTTAACATCTGTAGTTTTGATCAGGTGCAGATATCAATTCAACCAGTGAAGATGGAGATACTCCTTTGTATCTGGCCACTTTTGGAATCCTGAATGCTGCAACGCCTGACCTAGAAGTCATTACAGATCTTATAGAAGCAGGTTGTGGAGTTTTTATGTGCTTGTGAAAAATTTGTTTGGGTCTTATTATGGTAAGGCATCGTCCATCAGCCTGTCCTTCAATCCGTCATAAACATTTATTTCTTTGACATGAGTTAATAACCTTATGAACAGCATTTTGTTTCAATCATATTTCAGAAAGTTTTTTTCTTTTCAGCATTTTAACCTTGTCCTTTGATTTCTTTCAATTTTCCCCATCTCTTTAAAAATTGGTATGCTTTACTGTATCATTTAACCATATAACATTGTTTTCCCTCTTGACATTTTGACTCACTATTAGCATTTCCAAATTTGTATTCTTTTTGATACAGTAAGTTGATAATATTATTAAGCAGGTGGGGAGATTGCAGAATCTGAGAATGGAAGTATATACATACAGACAATTATATAGACCATATATTACAATACAGTACAATTGCCTGCCTTGTTTCACAAAAAATTCATAGTGCTTTCTAACTGAAATTGCTTGCACAAGATCAAATGTCTGAAGATTGAAGGTTAAGGTGACTGTTTCTACATGAGAAACTAATGATTGCATTACTTACCAGCAGGTGTAAAATGTCAAATGGTGAGATTCTAGTTTTGATTGCTTTCGATCATTAAATGGTGAAATTCTAATTTTGATTTCTTTCGATCAAAGCCAATGAAATATTGAAAACGTATGGCACAATATCCTATACATGATTAGCAATGAATTATTATTCTTTTGCTGCAGGAGGCTGTAAAATTTAAATATAAAATCATGATTTAAAGACAGTTTTGATGCAAGCAAAATATGATGAAGTGACATGAACCCCATTCCCACCCCATCCCCCTCCCTACAAATCCACAAAAGCAACCATAAAATGAAAAGTATGGATCTTTTTAGTGTTATTTATAAAGCATACTCTGAGGACTTTTGCTTATAAGACATACTCTGAGGACTTATCAGGCAATATTGGTTGACCAATAATTATCAATAACTGATAAGTAATCTATACAATAAAACACAAACAAGGCCAACATTACAACTTAGGTGTACATGTGTATGCATTAAAACACAAACAAGGCCAACATTACAACTTAGGTGTACATGTGTATGCATTAAAACACAAACAAGGCCAACATTACAACTTAGGTGTACATGCGTATGCATTAAAACACGAACAAGGCCAACATTACAACTTAGGTGTACATGTGTATGCTACATACATTAAAACACAAACAAGGCCAACATTACAATTAGGTGTACATGTGTATGCATTAAAACACGAACAAGGCCAACATTACAACTTAGGTGTACATGTGTATGCATTAAAACACGAACAAGGCCAACATTACAACTTAGGTGTACATGTGTATGCATTAAAACACAAACAAGGCCAACATTACAACTTAGGTGTACATGTGTATGCATTAAAACACAAACAAGGCCAACATTACAACTTAGGTGTACATGTGTATGCATTAAAACACAAACAAGGCCAACATTACAACTTAGGTGTACATGTGTATGCATTAAAACACGAACAAGGCCAACATTACAACTTAGGTGTACATGTGTATGCATTAAAACACGGCCAACATTACAAGGCCAACATTACAACTTAGGTGTACATGTGTATGCATTAAAACACGAACAAGGCCAACATTACAACTTAGGTGTACATGTGTATGCATTAAAACACGAACAAGGCCAACATTACAACTTAGGTGTACATGTGTATGCATTAAAACACAAACAAGGCCAACATTACAACTTAGGTGTACATGTGTATGCATTAAAACACAAACAAGGCCAACATTACAACTTAGGTGTACATGTGTATGCATTAAAACACGAACCAACATTACAACTTAGGCCAACATTACAACTTAGGTGTACATGTGTATGCATTAAAACACGAACAAGGCCAACATTACAACTTAGGTGTACATGTGTATGCATTAAAACACAAACAAGGCCAACATTACAACTTAGGTGTACATGTGTATGCATTAAAACACGAACAAGGCCAACATTACAACTTAGGTGTACATGTGTATGCATTAAAACACGAACAAGGCCAACATTACAACTTAGGTGTACATGTGTATGCATTAAAACACGAACAAGGCCAACATTACAACTTAGGTGTACATGTGTATGCATTAAAACACAAAACATTAGAACAAGGCATGTGTATGCAACACGAACAAGGCCAACATTACAACTTAGGTGTACATGTGTATGCATTAAAACACTAACAAGGCCAACATTACAACTTAGGTGTACATGTGTATGCATTAAAACACGAACAAGGCCAACATTACATGTGTACTTAGGTGTACATGTGTATGCATTAAAACACGAACAAGGCCAACATTACAACTTAGGTGTACATGTGTATGCATTAAAACACGAACAAGGCCAACATTACAACTTAGGTGTACATGTGTATGCATTAAAACACAAACAAGGCCAACATTACAACTTAGGTGTACATGTGTATGCATTAAAACACAAACAAGGCCAACATTACAACTTAGGTGTACATGTGTATGCATTAAAACACAAACAAGGCCAACATTACAACTTAGGTGTACATGTGTATGCATTAAAACACAAACAAGGCCAACATTACAACTTAGGTGTACATGTGTATGCGTATGAAATTTCAGTTCAATATCCTCATCTACAGCAGAAATCTTAACTGAATGTATCTAAAGATTTTCCAAACCAGTAGTCCTTAATTCTGGAAAAAATAAGTTAAGGTAACTAAATATGATTACATGTATAACCTTCTCATGATACCATGTTGAACATATCAAAGGACTTTTCAGTTAATATCCAAAATTGTCTAGAAAATGAATGGAAACTGATGAATTTGTTTGAAGTCCTTTACACATTTGGGCCTCGCGACCTTGAAAGTGGGTCAGGGTTTCTTTTTTATCAAACTTAATAGCCCTTTATTTCAGCATGCAGCTGCCCCACTATCACAACCCAGGACTTCTTGCTTCAACACAATTGACTTCTGTGACCTTGAAAGTAGGAAAAGGTCATTCATTGGAGCAAACTTGGTCTTATCCCACCATGCTATATGCTCAACATCATGACCCTGGGTGTCAAGGTTATTGAGATTTTAACACAATAGTCCTTTTAATTACTTCAAGGTCATTTCTTGAACCTTTTATTGGCCCATTATTTGATCCTGGGTATTTTTGGTCATTGAAATGATTTTTTTGAAAGGGAAAATTTGACACTGGATGCTGCATCTTAACTTAACTTGCCATGGAGTAGATTTCAAAGTTAACAAAATATACTCAACTGTGTTACGTATCTATAAAAAAATATAGAAAACTATATTCCCTTTTGGGATCCTGGGGAAGTGAAATGCATGACTTTGATAATGCATCTTAAAACCCTTCAACCGATAAAGAGGAGTTTGAATCACCAAAAATATCATTTCTTATATAAACTATTAACATGTGATCTTGGGATAATAAAAGTGAGTTTTGTTAAAGAGCCTTCTACTCTGGAAGAGGATTTCATTCTTTCATATCTAGGTTATGTTTTTGATGCATTCAATTTGACCTCTTTTTGTCCTGCCCTTCAAGCCCCTTGGGTTTGAGGATAACATAATTAACATTTTTGGTTCACCTTTAGGCATGGAATATTTTCTTGAAACTTCATTTCTGGTGACCTAATTTTAACTACACTTCAAATTGTTCAGTTTAATACTCTAAACAGTTCTTAAAATGAACAGAAGTGAATAATAAATAATACCCACACTTACATAAGGGGAGTATATATCATAATCACATTGTCTATTCATGAGTGTGCAGGAGTCTATATCTGTATCTGTCCTTGATAATCTTGCATACAAGATATCTTGTGAACTCCTGAACAGATTTGGTTCATATTGACACCATAACACCATACTACCAAAGTCTACTCCTAAATAGATTTTTGTAGTCATAGATCACATGTCATCCTTCACAAACCTCTGAACATATTAATTTCAGCTTGTTTCACACCATAGCATACAAACACCAAGGTCAACATTTCATTTGATTTTCGTGGTCATTGATCAAGGTTTAAAAAGTTCAGTCGTCATCCTTGACCACTTTAGAAATAAAAAGCTTGTGTACAAGATATATAACAAATAACCACATGACAGCAATAACTACTTACTTTGATCCAGGGATGAGGGGTATATCTGTGTAAACCCTTGGTCACTTTGTTTCTTGAAATTGGTAAGTGCAATGGCATAACTTGGGAAAAAATAGTTTGTTTGAACAAAATAAAAACTCTACCTGCATCTTATCATTAAATGACTACATTGTGCATACTGTACCAACTTATGGAATAAGAGGCCTTTCTAAAACTTCCCTAAAACTTTAAAAGTGAGTTTTGAGATCAAGAATTGATGTTATTATGGTTCTTAAAATCCAGTCATATTTAGTTACCGGTATGTCAATTGTTTTGAATTATGAATTTTACAGGCTGTGATGTCAACAAAGCAAATCTCCGTGGCTATACCCCATTGCACCGAGCAGCTAGTAAGGGAAGTGTACCTGTCATCAAATGTCTTCTCCTGTACGGTATGATTAATCAGCAAAATTAATATGGCTATTTGGCTTCTACATTACTTAACCAAGCCTCCAGTTTGTAGGTGACAACATCTTTATTTCTGTTAAATGAATAAATTAATCAATGAACTGAAAAATGTCACATGCAAATTAAAAGGTATTTTCTTGTCTAAGAGCTAATAACAATAAATAATATCCAGTAATTTTAGCTCACCTGGCCTAAAGTGAGTTTATGCTGTAGAGCGAACTCTGTTGTTTGCTATCTGCCATCCTGCATCTCCTTTCCTCTTCAAACATCCTCTTAATAATCATAAGACCTAAAATTATTGCCTGGAAGGTTCCTTTGATGAAGACAAAGTTAAGAAAAGAAAAGACCTTCAATCATATTCCAGGTCACAGGGTCAGATATGTTTAAACCTTTTAACAACTTCTTAACCAACATGCCTAGAATCATGATATTTTGAAATTCCATGAATGAAACCTGACAATATTTTTGAAAGATCACAAGGAATAGATATGTGCTTGAAACCTCTTAATTACAGAATTATTGCAGTTTGTCAAAATATTGTGTCGGATAAAGCTGGCTCGGGGAGCATTCATGAGTTTCATCGTTACTCTTTTTTAAAGGAAGAACTTGGAGCAAGAATCACAAATCACTTTGTCAAAGTGATATCAATTTTGACTACAGTAGGTTGAGAATGTGACCTTGTACGACAAAATTACGGCTTTGAATATTTGTTTAAGGATTGAAGACTACTTGGTATAATCAAGCTGGTAGAATAGCTATTTATATCAACACTAAACAGTAACCTCTATTTTGACCACAGAGGTTGAGATGCATGTAATTTGATAATTCATGAAATAGATAGAGGAAATGGCAAAAATCCATTTGTAGTAACATTGATCTCTATTTTGACTCAGAAGATTGATATGCAAACTTGTGAAAAGATTATGCTTATATGCAAGTGTGTCCAGTTTCAAGGCATTCAGATGATTGTTGAATTTGGTGGAGTGAGAATGTCAAATATCTATTTAACGGTGACCTCAATTTTAACACCATTAAGCTGAGACACAAAAAAATTTACAAGAAACTATGGCTGTGACTTGGTGTATGAAGCTTTAAGACAATTGGATAATAATAATAATAACTCAGTACAGCCCGAATATCACTGAGTAGGGATATATGAGCAGACCCCTATATTCCTTTGCCAACTTGTTTGGTTTTTAATTGCATTTTGTATGAAGAAAAAGAAAATATATTACCGATTAGGATGTAGAATTGTACCCCTTATCCTACTGAGAATCATTTACATTTTGTATTTTCAGCTAGAGATATCACTGTTTATTTAACACTTGATATATTTTGCAGAGACTTGTGACTTTTTTTGCTTCTGATTACTAACAAAATGTGGAAATATGACCATGTTTTGTGATACCATTTTTTAGGTCACCTGAGGCAGAAACCTGTGGCCTAAGATGAACCAAAATAGTGAATTATACAGTCCCCACAGCACTGGGGCTGGGCGAAAAAGTATCAAATTGATTTCAAAAATCTTCTCAAAACCCAGATATGATAAGAATCAAATGCATCTTAACGTGCTTTACCAAATTTCAAGGTCCCTGTAGGGATTGGGTAAAGTTTACTATAGTTTATATAGGAAAAAATATTTTTTTTAGCATAAGTTGTTTAATTTCCAGTCGGAAATATTTCAAATTTGGTTAAAGTTATGAGCGAAGTATGACTGTTGATGGCTAGATAATATGCATATATTGTTTCTGACTGACCCCCAGGGGCAGATGTTTGGGGCCAAAAAGAGGTCAGATTGACTTAAATTTCAAAAATCATCTTTACAACACCCTGGTTTGTTAGAATCAAATACTCTGTATGAATGGAAGCTTCTTAAGGTGCTTTGATTACCAAAATGGTATCTCATTTTTCCTTGGGGAGGAAATTCAATTTACTGTGATTTTAATAGAAAAAGTGCAATTTTGAGCATAACATTGTTTATTTCCCAAAAGAAATAAGAATTATTTGTATAGGATGGGAGTTTTGGTGATATACAAATATTGACACTAACTTACTATCATCATTGCCACAATTTCTTTTTTATGATACTTGAAAGCTTTTCTTTAACCTTTATATTCAATATTGCTGATCTTAAGTGACAGTCAAGGCTGCTAGGCATCTTCTTTTCTTAAAAGTTAAAAAAATAACTTACATTGATACTGGATGTATGTTTGTAAGATGCACTGGCTATGCAAATACCCTGAACTCAAAAGAATAATTTTCAAAGGTATTGATTGTATAATTATATATTTGCTAAAACAACACATTGATGCCGAGACAAGACATGCCATAGCAATGCACAGGGAAGATTCATAATGGATCAACAAAATAATGAAGTACATACAACTTTGGCTTTGTTAACTTCTAGGGACACAGACAGCTTATCTGCATTGATTTGCTAATATAAAATCTTGTATCGGGAAAAGAAATATAAATACAAGGAATGAATTTCAATATGAAATGCTGTAGTTAAGCAAATGCTTCTCTCCAGCTTTGCTCTTCTCAAATGTTTCAGGTGCAGACCCCTACCAGGCAAGCAAAGCGGGAGTCCTTCCCATTAGTAATGCAATCAATGCAGGTATGAAAAAAGAAAATGATAAAGATTTGAAGAAACGATGAGAAAAATGTTTATAAGAACAGAAAAGTTGTCTGAATCCACTTCCTTTAAGGACTTGAAGCATATTTTTAAAATCATGTATTCCCGTCAATGAATAAATTTAATCTATAATCTTGTATACATGTACTCTATGCTTACATATATTAATGTACATTTTCACATTTTTTTTAATGGAGACAATATCCAAGTTTTGACTTAATTTTGTCCAACAATCAAGGTATTGTTTTGTATTAATGATACATGACATTAAAACTCTTACAGGCAACTTGAAGGCTGCAGAGTTTCTGAAAATCCACATTGATAATCCCCATGTTTGGGATGTGGTGGATCCTCACACACCACCCAGGATACAGCTTGGACTGCAGAGCCCACGGCGAAAACATCTGGTGGAGTCCTCAAGGCCCATCCAATCTTTATCAGTCCTAAAGACTTGACACTACGTCTCCACATTGGTGCCATGTGAGGCTGTCCATCTTCAACACTGTCTCCGTTCACTAAAGATCTGTTGTATTTGGGTTATGATGAAAGTAAACTTGTGTGAGATGGCTAACATGTCAATTAATTACCATATTCTATTATACTGTAATACTGTATATCAGAGTTTTACTATTAAAAAAACAAAAGATAGTATAGTCATTTAAGAACACTTTTGGAAAGTTATATACTTGTCATTTAAAGGTTTTTTGGAAAGGAGACATATCCTGAACTTGTTATGAAACTCCAAACATCTGGAAAATTGTTTGAACAACGGAGTCAATGAAAAATCCGACACAAATAACTTTTTATAGGGATATTTTTATTGTTATGTACAATGGAACAAGCTTCTCATTACCGCATGCCACCAACACACTCTGTAACCCGACAGCAACACAAATGATTTGCAGCAGGTTCATTCAAACTTAAATTGACATGCAATATTAGTTAATTTTGTTTTATGGCTTTCCCAATAAATCTAATTATCTATTAGGCTTTTGCACAAACCCCATTTACATTGTCTAATTAATATCCATATTTCAAGCCAGCAACATGAAAATGTTAACTTGTTTCATTGTTCATTTATTATGTATATATGTACACTTTTAAAATTTCTGTATTACAAAATAATAGATGTGGAAGTTATCTACATCAGTGACACATAAATGTCAAAGTTATCCAGTTTTTGTTATGCACACATAGCCAAACTAATTTGCTCATTTAATAAAAAGCATTTCAAAACTAAAAAAAAAAAAAAAAAAAAAAGAAATTTCGGAAGGGATTAAGTTGGGAAAAATATCTATGATTTTGATGTACTGATGCATTTACTATTTGTACAAAAGTTTATACATAGGTGAATAACAGTTTTAAAATTCAAAATGATATTGATCACTTTAAAACTGAGAATATCCAATAAAAGAACACTATTCAAGAATAAACAAGTGACAAAATATGCTAGGTGATTTTTTGTAACGTACATGTACTTGCAGGTACATTTCCCTCTTATCTTAGATTTCTACATGAAGTAGATTTGACAATTTCTGAAGTTTTCTACAGCTCTTCATACTTCAATACTTAGTACTGGTAGATTGAAACCTTACATTATAAGTAATTTGTTGATGTTTTACATGCCAGTACCATAACTGATTTATTACAACAGTAATTTTTGTAGAATTTTTTCAGGTCAGTGCAGAACATCAATTTCAAAATTTTGATGAGTCCCAATACTAGTCAGTTTTCAAAATTTGAGCGAGTCCCTGCAAGAGCATGAATCCAGGACTTTAATATCCAAGTACCAAAAATCACTGTTACAAGGTACTTTGATTTGTTTATGTATTAAAGAGCAAGAACTATTACTACCAAATTGTTTGTCATGAATCAACTGAACAACTACCATTAACATTACCATAAATGATGTGACACAGGAAAAAGTCCGGTTTCCACAGGCAAATTTCGATTTTTCTTCTTGGATTGTTTTATGAATAATGCACAAGTTCCTATTCAATAAATACCTTGTTTTGTTTACCAATACAACAAAAGGTTGTACATATTTCTATTCTGATACTGGTTTCATAAATAATTTAAATTCACATTCTTGCGTCTAATCTGGTTTCTGGCAATTCCTCTTGTAGCAGATTTCACCAATACCAAACATAGAATTACGTGCTGTTATACTAAACCTGAAAATACATACTGACCACCCTCCTAAGGGTTATAATTTAATAACAAAGTCAACATTTGAACAAATTTCTATTATTAAATAACTTCAGTTGCTGTTGACTTGAAAATTAAACATTCAATTTGCTAAACAGCACCATTATATTTATCAGAAAATGGATTACAACTTTCCAGAAATAATCTCATATAAAAAGAAAAACATCTGATGTTAGGGCAATGCCTGGAGTAACATACGTTGCCCTTAAACATCTGTTAAATCGAAACATTAATTTTAACTATTAACAAAACAAATTACAGCAACAAGAAATCAATTTAACAACTTTAAGGTACATGTACCGGGCCACTTGCACTATTTAAGTTTTGTACACAAAGCACAACAGAATATTTCAGCACAGTGATTTATAAATTAGATCACCAAGTCTTTTAAACGAGTTATACATTGATCAAGATCTCTGTTGATACATGCAATACTTCAATAAGTACAATGTACACTATATGTAACTATAGTTGAAGGAAACATTATATGCTACAATGAACCCCAGTGTTAAATTCACACAATATTTTTTGTTTTCTGAAGGCCTGAAAATAACTTTGATGAACTCATAGACCAACAACATAACTGCTATGTCAGCTACTGACATAAAGTTTATGCTGTCGCACACTTGTAGATTACACTATGACATCACAATGAAGATCATAGGTGTAAAGCCACAATGATTTTCAAGTATGAAATGGAAAAAGATGTTTTCTATAATATTTGCCAAAATAATCAACTATTATTAAAATAATCTTGAAACTGGTTACCATTTCATCTTACAATCACCAATCTTTATTTTGATGATTTCAAAACCAAACTTTCAAGGAGTTATATCCCTCATCTCATCAAGAGCTACTTTCAGGTCTAATTTGTGGATAAGTTTCCTGTATTCATGACTGTTTAACTGGAATTCTACAAATACAATTTGATTGAGAACCATGTTAAAAAGTCCGCGAAAATATAATTTTTTAGATAAATATACTTTGGAAAATTGCATCATATTTACGATTGTATATTGTACTTAAAATTTAAAGCCATATTGAAACACCTCACTGTGTCAGTAGAATAGAAATTTGCGTTATGTGTTGTGCAAGGTTTTCTATGCATGTGTATATGATACTACACTGATTGCAAGATGTTACATGTGACAAAAAAAAAAAAAAAAACCCACGAAAACATACAAGGAAAATGAAAATGAAGGAACCCCAAGATACCTGAAGATCACAGATGTAATCAAGACCTATTGGAGCTTTCCATCCTATAACTTGTATTCAAAAGACAATATCCAGGCCTAAATTACAATGCGGGTTGCATCATTTTACCCAAACAGAATTTTTAAGTGGAATTCTTGCATAGGTGAAATATTCAAGTTATTTCATAATATAATGATTCATCTGAAACAATAGTCCTGAAGTTGGTAACCACCCACCTAATAAAATTTAAGCATCTTCTCAACTTTCCCACATAAATAGGCATTGCTCTTAGATGTCTATTCCTGTTTTCTTCACCTTCCTTACAACAGTGTAATCTCTAGCTTATTTAGAAGAGTGACAATTAATATTGAAAACCAGGCAACATGAACAAACGAAGAGCATGCCAAAATGTGGGACAGTATTGAAATGGAAAGTTAATGTCCCAACAACTAAGACAGCAAGGCAAATCTTTTAATAATCTACAGAGTAGATTTAAGGTATTATCACATCATGCAGAATTCATTGGTATTGCCAATCTAATTTTCTCTTCTTGGTGACAGATTATGTCAGTTTTCCTCTGCACACTTTTTGGTCGTCATTTTCAACATTACATGTGCTATTGGCAAATCATTATGGGATTCAAAGGCTAAATATAGCAGCATAATTTACATGTTATCTACTCATTCTGACAAGTTTAATCGGATTGGGATTTCCTTCATTAGTTATGTAACAGAACATTTTTTGGACATCAGTGGAATAAAGTATTAAATTAGGGATAAACAAAAAGTGAAATTCCAGTATGTAAATTATATAATTCTATCTGTTTTCTTCAGTGATGACCACCTTTAACCACTCAACATATATACACAAATTTTTGTGGGGTTAAGATTTTGTTTTTTTTTTTTCGTGGGGGGGAAGGGGGGAAGTATTATGGGCAAAGTAAAAGGGATTTCATATCTTGGATATTTTATGTCTACTAAAGTCACAAAGCAATATTCCTCACAAAAATTTCTGATGTTGGCATATAAACAATAAGTTATTGGTTATAATTTCCCTACCCTACACACACCAACAATAAGGTAAAACCATAACCTTATCCCATGATTGAATAATAAGTTTGTGAACATAAAAAACATGGAACAATTTCTTAAATATGTGCACATGCTAATTATCAATATTTTTTCACTGTACATTAATGAACAAAGGAATGGACCTTGGTTTAGAGACAAGCCAGACTGACCTCATTACTGCCATCATCTCTGGAAAAATACCAAACTTGTTGGTTGCTATAGTTACTGTTTTGTATTTGGTAATTTATTTGATGATTTAATATCACTATACAGTCAATTGGTTCATTTTTATATGGCTTTCCTTGGTACACTCAAGATCACAGCTGGTGTTTTAAAGAGTAAAAAACAGGGACAAAACATCTGCAACATCGAATTGCAATGAAAGGAAGTACTATGATTGAAATTACTGATCATTTGTCCTCTTTATGAAATATAGATAACATCATCCTTTTTTCTTGCTTCTGTGTCCTTGATCCAACTTCATTGTAAAGATATTATCAAGTATTCAAAATGCTGGCAAGCATAACCAAATGCATGTACTTTGTTAAAAATAGGGGTAAACTCCAAGGCTGAAAACAAGCACAACTGCAGAAAGCTGCCATGATCACCGTACTGACAAAAATTTCCATGGCCATTTCAAGTCTTTGTTTGGTCATCTCTTATCGCATCACTATTCAATAAACGTATGTATTTTACATACATTATCTCAGTAAATATCACAAGTGAATGGACAACGCACATCTTGAGATTTCTTTTAGTTCTCCACGGAAGCAAGATGTCCGATACATTATGCAGTGATCAAACATTCCTACACCCCCAATGTAAACTTGTCTTTGGTGCACCAAAATGGTCTTTTTGAACCAGAACAAAGGTGATCTACATCAGGTAGTGTCTGCTCTATTTGGTAATCCAAGTCATTTCACACCAAGAATCGGCATGACTGATGCGGCTGTGAGCGAGGATCATGTGATGGGGTGGGGTAACTAGGGGAGTGGCCAGTTGCACACTCTGACCATGTGTCTTACATGTGGGATTGACTGGAGCGATCACTATGGTTAATTTGTGCCAAATTCAAAGTTCCGTGGAACCGCCATATTTTGAAATACATATCCTCCTCGCTCTTCTATTTTCTTGGATTCTGAAAATATGAGAAATAATAATGTTCAAACTCCATACACAAAAAATAAATGACCCCATCAAACCATCTTTTTGAACAATTTGTTTTCTCTTTATAATTAGAAAATAAATCTCAAGATAGGTATCCTCTACAACTCAATCTGGATAGCAATTGTATATACTTTTATGTAAACATGAAAATATAGATACCAGATGAGTAAAAATAATGACATTTTCTTCATAGCTAAAATACCAATGAATTTACCAATTCTGACCAATCGAAACGTTTGGTTTGTTTAAACTGTCCAGATACTTTGCAGAACATTTATAAAGTGTGTATCAGATGGACCGTACAATATGTCTGGACAGAGTGCTGTGTATTTGCTGTACTTACCTGCTGCAGCACGACGTTGTTCAGCAAGTTTGAAAACATCCTCCACCTCTTTGCTTTGTGCCTCAGTCAACTGTCCTGTGAGCACATTGTACCACTCTGGGTCACTTGTTTGTATAGCTATAGAAAAAGACAGAAATGAAATCTTCAGACATAGGTTTTAAGTAAATAGTCACTGATGTGGTGGCATGTAAGCATCTTGCAGCATCATGCTTTAAAATCAGGTGATACAAATCAAGCTAGGACTTACAGACATCATTGCTTGATACAATAGGGATTCTAACCAGTGTGAACTCACCATTCAAGCACAAAGGTCAACTAATGTCATGCCAACCTAGATCCAGCTCTCTTTTAATAGTTGGAAATATGATGCTGACTAATGGAACCTTTCTACCTCCATTTCCTCAAGGCGAGTAAATTATTTTCCTGGCCCTCTTTTTGTTGAATTGAGGTGCATTTGTAAACACAACTACATGTGGATGGTATATGAATGTCATGTACCCTAAATAAGGCCAAGTCAGATCACTGTAATCAGAACATTGTTAAACATTAAATGACCCCAAATAAGTCAGCTCCCATTTGGGATCCTTCTTTGCACTACAACCACAGTTACTGGTCAGTCAAATGAGTCAACCTATTAAAGAATTGTTTCCCTGACCAAGCTGAGCAGTCCACATTGGCCTTGGTTACCACCCCTCATGTCAGAAGATGATATTCTGCAAGCTTGAATATTTGACTTCTTTCCTTTACACTTTGTTAACCATACTACCTCCCTGACTGATGGTATTTATTTTGTTCCAATACTGAATTGTCAGTAATACTGTATTGATTAATTAGTTTTAGAGGCATTAATGATTTTATATTGCGCACCAGCTTTTCACAGTAAAAGTAGTGATTTAAGCCATTCTGTTCTTTAATCTTGACACCAAATTCTCATCAAAAGTAAAACTCAATGCCTTTAGGGCAGATTTGCTAAAATTATTAAAACAAGAGTGCCGTGGACACAATATACGCTGCCACAAAATATAAAGATCAAGATAAAATGGCATAAATCTTACAAAAATCAATGAACTGTAAAATCGCCCCTTCATGCACATCAAACCATTGTATTAGTGACATTGAGCAAGTTTTATGGCGATCTGATCATTAGTTTAGGAGGAGTAGCGTTCACAAGGCTCCAGTAAGAGCAAGCCACAGATACGAAGTTGAAAATGGCATAAATCTTACAAAAAAACAACGAACCAAAAAATCGCCCCTTCATGCACATCTACTTATTGTAGTAGTGACATTGAGCAAGTTTCGTGAAAATCTGATGATTAGTTTAGGAGGAGTTGCATTCACAAGAAATGGATGTACGAACGGACAGACGGAGAAGATGACGCCAATATACGACTGTCTCCGGTGGCGTATATAAAAAAATGGAGGAGCACAGATCAGAGCCAAAATCTAATCAAAGAATGTCACTATGTCCATGGCAAGAATCATGAAGTCATCGTCAACCAATGAGAAAACCTCATGAGCATGACAATAACCTACAACCCTACACGGTGCTGTGTGACCATGGCTAGGCAACATTCTCAAGGAATGGATTGTGGTTAGATTCATCATTTTGGTGCCATTTCCATATATAGATACATATAGCTGACTGGTTCTGACATGTGAATAATAGCAAGGAATGTGATGGCTGCTTTAGACAATTTTGGAACTACAAATCTCCACATTGTCCAAATTGTCAAAAGTACTGTAAGTCAGTATTTTGTTGTGTAGTTTATTGATGTTGCAGTTATATCAATTGATATTGATCTAACATTTGTAGTAAGCAAGCTAACACCTACATTGCAGTATACTTTTAAACACCAGATATTCATCCACAGTGGAATTTTCATCATCCAGAGGTGTTTGATAACTCTCTAATGCTGTTTCTTCTGTTCCGTCATCTGTGTATTCTGCATCACTGTCGTCATCCTTGTTGGCCTATACGATAAAAATTTAAACTTACAGAGGGATCATGTGTATCAAAGACAGGCAGGAAATTTAAAAGGACTAAATAATTGGATTTCGTAATCAGATAATTTTTACTTCTAAGTCGATTGATTCATCAAGCTTCTTGACTAAAATATATGAAAACTTCAAATTTGGAGCAGAACTGTAACTAGATAGTCCCTTAATGCTTATACATGTACACTATAGAAGCTGATCCAAACATACTTACTGCTACCTCTAATTTTTCCATATACTGAGCACTTTCTTCATCAATCTCATCCTCATCACTTGCAAGCTCTTCTGTAAAGCAAGTTTTATTAACAGTTAACAAGACCATCCACACTTAGAACATCATATCAGAAATATTTACAGTTTGGTAAGTTTCAACAAGAAATGCATGAACCAAGCAATTTCGACTTTGAGCATAAGGCCATGATCTTTGAGTTCTATAAAACCACAAATGTTGGAATCTCAAATTGAATGTTAAATCACAACATGCAGTGATTCTATAATTTTGACTTTGACCATGAATACATGACCTTGATCTCTCAGGTGCTATCTGAGGACAGGTGTCATGACCAAAGGGTTATATCACAACACAGAGCTTCCATGATTTTGGCTTTGACATTGAACACACAACTGACAAACCAAATGTTGACAAACAGAAAGATAAGATGCCCACAGGCTTTAATGCCCATCTGACTATAAAGAACTACAGTGAAACCTCACCTAACGACCACCCCACTATTACGGACACTTTTTTTCAGTCCCGTTTTTTCCCACTATATATCTTTGTATTGGTCGCTTCAGTATTACGACCACCCCGCTATTCTGTATTACGACTACTTCCTTAAGTCCCAACGACCACTAATTAATGATAATTGACCTCACAATTACGACCAATTTCCGATTAAAGTTTTCCGGGTGGGCAGTGAACTGCGAGCATGTGTGTCGTTCTCGACCATTGTTTTCGTCACAGGTTACCGACCCTGTCACCAGGTGGTGATACACGAAGTAAACATCATTATCAGAACTTGTGTGAAGCTGCAAGCCAAACACATTTTAATAGTGATCTATTGTTTGTTAATTATATTTGATAGATCGGTAGGTATGCTGTTCAACACCTTAAAAGCCCTTCATATCCAAAGGTGAATTATGTAGTCTTTTCGGCCGATATTCCCTTGCTCGCATGCGCACACGTTGTTAAGGGTTTTTAAATGTTTTTGAAGCGATATTACACTCTCAACATCGTTTGAACAATTAAAAAATATGTATATGTTCCAAATTTTTTATGACATATTTTCACTGTCAAAAAACTTTATGAAGCAATGACGAAACCACGTAAACGAAACGAGCTATTGCGATCGTTAAAAAGGACTTGCGGAAGAGGAGGCTGTCCAGATTTGTAGCTCTTTGCAAAAATTAACGTTAAATTCCTATTGAAATTAAAATTGTTTGTTTTCTTTTATTCAATGGTTACAATAGTAAATATACATGCATATTATGATATAAACTAAGGAATATATACATGTAAATTCTTTTGTCAATTCATCAATTTTATCTTTTTACATGCATTTCATGAAATTCAACATTTTATATACAGTTTAGTTATTATGTTGAATAATATACATGTACATTACTTAATGATATATACATGTATAGTCATTATTTCAAGCGGAGTTACGGTTCTTTGCGGTCAATCCGATCCACCTCACCATTAAGACCACCTCGCTATTAAGAACACTATTTTCCAGTCCTCAAAGTGGTCTTACTAGCGAGGTTTCACTGTATATATGCAAGAGGCCAAATAGGTCTAAAAAATTGCTCAACTACTCTACAGCTTACAAAGTAGAAATTGTTTGTTCATAAAAGCATTTTCTGCAAACTTGAAATCATATTCTTTTTATACACAAATGCCATAACTCCAGACCTATTACTTGTTGAAATGATATTTTAAGACTCATTTGACCTTGAATATAAGTCAAGGTAAATTATTTTGATAAATTTGGTAGCTCTTCATTCACTATGTTCAAGAAAAAATATAAACAACCTGGACCATTTTATTATTGTGAAGAAGTCGTTTTAAGATTTTAACACATTTGACACCTGTGACCTTTTAAAAAAGAAAAGGTAAATCACATGAACAAAACTGGAAACCCTTCATTCCAGTCTGCCACAGGCCAAATATGAACCATTAATTTTTGGTTATGCAGAAGAAGTTGTTTAAAGATTTTGACATATTTGACACTTTTGACCATGGTAAATGGTCAAGGTATATAATATGAACAAACTTGGTAGTTCTTCATTCCAGGATGCAACAGGCCAAATTTCATCTCTGGGCATTTCCGTTATTGAGAAGAAGCTGTGTAAAGATTTTGACATATTGACACCTGTGACAATGAAAGTAACTCAAGGTCAATAATTTTCATAAATTTGGTTGTCCTTCATCTCTGCATGTTACAGGTCCAATATCAGCACATTCTGCCTTTTGGTTATTCAGAAGTTGTTGATGATTTTAACATATTTGACTTGTGACCTTGAAAGTAGGTTAAGGTCATTCATGTTAACAAACTTGGTAACCCTTCATCCCAGCATGCTACAGATTCAATCTCATCACACTGGGCTATTTAGTTATTGAGAAAAAGTTGTTTAAACATTTTGACATATTTGATACCTGGGACCTTTAAAGTGGGCCAAAACAATAATATGAACAAAGTTGGTAGCTCTTCATCTCAGCATGCCAAAGGCCCAGTAGAAGCAACCTGGGCCTTTTGGTTATTGAGAACAAGTCATTTAAAGATTTTAACATATTTGACCCTTGTAACCTTTAAAGTAAGGCAAGGTCATTCATTTTAAGAATCTTGGTAGCCCTTAATCCTATTATCCTACAGGCCCAATAACAGCACTCTGGGTATTTAGATTATTGAGAAGAAGATATTTGAATGGCAGACAGCTATAGGTTATCCTAATCCCAGATGACCTAATAACTAATCTCCCTTGATGATAATATATTACCATTGCCATCTGCCTCCTCTTCGTCTTCATCGTCTTCATCATCAGAATCATCATTTTCATCTTGAGCTTTACCTAAGTAAAACAACCATTCAAAAGTAATACACAAAAGAAGAATTATCTAAATAATTCATAGCAAATATTTCACCAAATCATGAGATCTTGACAAAACCTATTTGAAAGGTAAGAGAAAATGACAAACATCAAATCCTGACATCCATCTTTTTTCTAAATAAGGATGCTATATTAAATACATTTAAATTGTGTTCTGTATTAACTGTCTAATTATTTAGTGTATATCAAGTTTTTTTTTAAACAAAGTAAATTCATTTATCCCTATGTATTACAGCCAGACAAGATTTATTGGATTGTTTCCCCTAGAAGCTACTATAGTGATCAAGTGTACAAACTGCCAAAAACTTAATGTATAGTAAACAACATACTTGCATAAGCACGTTTCAAGCCCTGAAACAGAACAAGAAGAGCTGGAATGATCTGTGATCCTACTTGGCTGACATCGTTAGGGCGATTGGTTACCATGCTGACAAGAGCACACAACCCTAGTGCACTGATCTTCCTGTCATGAAGCCTGTATCATCATACAACAAAAACTTCTTTTCAGTGTTATTAATTACAACTGATGTTACAACTTTGTATTTACTCTATCCTAATTACAAGTTTAACCAGTAACATCTCTGTTACCAGAAGTATTACAAAAATTTTTCTTGATGTAATTTTAATAAGAAAAAAGACTGATTTTGCAACAGACTAAATGTACTACAAAATTTGTCATCTTGCACAGTTTACAATTCTGATCAGTGAACATAATTAACATTAAAGGAACTGGCAGGTGATTTTAGATTTCACATATTTTTCAGGGGGATATTTCAATATTGTTTTCAATGTTTACATCCTCAGCCTCATGACCAAGTATGATAGAATCATGTTCCACCTGAACCCATCATACTGACAATGATAAAAACCATCACTCACAACTTACCCTAAGAAACAATCAACATCATGAAGCCATTGTTTTAAGAACTGCTGCATTATAGAACCAGTGATGTTTTGTATCTGTAATTTGCCCAATGTGTCCAGTAGAAGTGGCTGGTTATAGTACATGGCTGCTATCACAACTTGTAAACACATTGTCCGTAACTCAGATGTCAACACCTCTCGTGTCAATCGCTGTAACGCCAATTCCACAAACGAGGGCACAACCTGTGATGAATTGTGAAGAGTGTTCAACATTTTCTTAAATATTTCTTAAAAGACTAAAGAAAGATAAAATATAAATAATTTTCCTGTTAATATTCATTATGAAGGACTGAAAATAAGTTTTTCCAGTGTATTCTTGAAGGTGAGGGCTATTACACAATGAAGTAACAAATGCTGGTATTTCTACTGAATTTGTTGTGCTTTTCAAAGCAAGTCCTTAAATGAATTATAAAGGTAGGTGGTCGGACGCAGATACTTTTTAGTGATGTCCATCATTGTACTTTAGTCCTCATTCTTCCTCGTATCTTAGCTGGTATCATAGAATCCATCACCAATATTGCTTTGATGATTTCTAAGGTAGTCCTTACCAGAGAGGGGCTTATTAATCCCACACAATACTGTAAACATACTTTATCTGGCACAATAAAATTTTAGTGCTTTATTATGCTTCAGAAATTTGGTGCAATGATTAATTTGTGCATCCCCATAATTACAATATAAACACCAAAAAGAAACTGTAATAAACACAATCATATTTCAGAGCTAAATGCATTAAAATAAAATTACCACAAAATGTACATTTAAAATTGTCTTTGTTGACTTAAAGGCAAACAATTTGTATTGTAACATTGGAACTTTACCATGAAGTTCAAGGCAATTCATGGGTTTTCTTCAGTAAAAATTACAAAAGGAGTAAAATATTTATAGATCGTTTCACTGGTGTGCAGTGTTAGTCAAATACATCATGTCAAGGAGATTATTACCTGGTCTACTTGTCCAGGACACTGTAGTAAAATGACCTCTAGAAGCTTGGCTGCGTGACACTCAGCATCCTCTCCTATATCAGCAGACATCACCTACAAAACACACCATACTGAATGTCAAGAAATTCCACGCTAAAACTTTTTTTTACTGAATACATTGATCTTCTTGTTCAACATTCATTATTCAATTCACAATTTAAAAGTTAGCTTTGCAAATTAAATACATTCCTATTAATTTATTATTTAATTGTATCAGTGAATCTGAAGATGTATAAGCAGTCATCATGGAATGTTGTTTTGATTGAATCAGCACATGCATCACAATAATAAGTGATATCCCTGCCACAAGTGTGCATTTCCCATTCTGATGCTGCAGGACTTGTTAACATAACTACCACGACACACTGTTATGCATCAAAGAATATGCATATCTTCACTACTTTTTCACAATAGAATGAAAACAGAAAAAACATCCTCCAATCCCGATGGAAGCAATTTATATATGTTAATAATTTGATGCTTTGACAGCAGAATAAACAGAACTGTCAAAGTTTGTAGCCCACAACTGTATATTATAAACAGTAGAGATTCAAAACCTTTGTCTTCAATCAAATGAGATAATTATTGGGTAGACATTTCAAGAACTACGAAGGTATACTTACAGCTTTGCACATGTTGTATATAATCTGTAGGTTTTCTGGGTTGGACAGGAAGGCTGGAGTGTCCACTGTTATGTAATTGTGTAACGCTGGCATCATGTCTACAGGCAAAACAAAAATCACTGGTGAGGATTCAATCAAACATGCACAAATTACACAAATCTCTGAAACAAATAAATTTGGCTTGTTGTTCAATGTGATTCTTTGTTTCCCAAATATTGTTTCTCTTTCTCCCTCTGAAATGTTTCAATAAAATAAGAGGTACAAAGGGCCTGCAGCACTCACCTGGTATATGTATACCACCCAAATATAATGCCTCTAGGCCTTGTAATTCATGAGAAATGATTTAAAGGTCCTTACAAATTTGACCCCTGTGACCTTGAATATAGTTGAGGTAATTTGTTTCCCCAAAATTTGTCAGGCTTCATCCTTGGAATATACCAGCCAAATATCAAAAGTCCCTCAGGGTCAAAACAACTTTCTGAATTAAAAAAAAGATAACCCAACTGCAATAATGTTTCAGACCGAATTTGGTTTAAATCTACCCAGGCATTAAGAAGAAATAGCGTTTTGAGGCAACATAATGTCTAACTTTAACTTTTGGGGTCCTGCCCTGAAGCCCACTGTGTCAAATCAAATTTCTCAATTTCAGAATTATTTGCTAGCCCCTACTGATGTTACATACAAAATTTGAATGAAATTCTTTAAAGTATTAAGGACGAGTAGCATTTGGAAGGAAAACACGGTCTTACTTCCCATTCGGGGCCCCATCCCCAGGTCCCTAGGGGTTAAATCAAATGTTTGGGTTTAAAAAACAATCCAGCTCCCCTCATGATGTATCAGACCCAAAGGCTGTAAAGGCGATAAGCAGAAGTAGTGCTTTAAAGAAAAAGTTTATGGACAGCAAACAATGACAGATGATGTAAGATTGCAAAAGGTCATCTTGGACCTAAAAAGTTAGCTAAAAAATGAGCTAAAACTACAACAGGACAAAAGATAGAGGAAACTCTCGAGTTCGGAGAAGCTCTTTACTGCAGATACAAGACTTGAAACTGTTGTCTCTGAATCAACTCATGCAGGAGACATTAGATAGACAAGTGTAAATAAAATGAGCGAAGAGGATTCATTGTACCTATTTAACTGTCAAATGCTCTCTTTATTGTACACAAAGAAACATTTGCACACAGTTCCTTTCCCCCTCACATAAACCATTTTCCCTTTAAGTTTAATTCACTCTTCAAAATTAAAACAGATAATTCAGCATCATCATCAAAACTAGAACCACCTTTTATTTTGGCTTAACAAATTTTGTCGAAGAACAAAATGGGTGAAAATTTTACTGTTTCTTTCTATAGAGTATCACCTTATGAACACTTTCTTCTGATCCAACAACTCACCTGTAAAATAATCTATGCCATCCTTCTGGAACATTTCGTACAACATTCTAAAGACTTGCCATAAGTGGTGAGACACCTGTGTACTTGTTAGACTGTAAATCAATGACAGCACCTCTTCATAGAAATCTGCAAACACATCACCACTAACATTTTAAAATAAGTGTCACTGAAACTCAGAAGAAACAAGTTACCTGTATGTTAGTTCAACAGGAAAATTGTCATGAATTTAAACAACAATAGATACTTTAAACATTTTCCATTCCTCGATGTAATGTTCACAAAAGTTAAAACTTGAATGTATTAGTTTAAAACTTATTATAAAATTCCAACATGCCATTTTGATTTTTGGAAAAATATCAGTCCTGAATAGATTAAGAGGCACAGAAAAAAGAAATGAAAAACATGAAAAATATTAAATGTTATGATATTCAAAAGATCAACAAATATCTTTTTACATATCAGAACAATAATCTTACAGAGTAGATGTCTGTAAGAACAGTATAGTACAAGTATAAGTTTCTCCTCCATAGACCAATTGTAGGGAACTATAACTTACCCATTATATTTTTCTGTAAAATTACGCCTATCACAGTTAAAACAATTCCTTCAAGCTGGGTCATAATCTGAAAAGACACACAGTTATTTAATGACAGAAAATCAGCATTCCTCTTTGTTTGACACTACATTTAAGACCTATATATATCTTGGTTTTAATTAATCTGATATTATTATTGAAAAAGACCTTTCCCTTGTCCAATCAACAACAGCTTTTACTACCAGAAATGAGACATAAAAGCCTGTGCTTATTTAGATAAATTAATGCACTTCTAAGCAGGATTTGATCATTGCAATTACTTACATAGAAAAATCATTTCCAATACAAGCTCTAAATATTTTTGATAGTGAATTACTTTCCTTGCAGTCATATATCAGGTCACCAAAATCATAATTTGCAAGATATTTTTGCAATAACAATCTCGATCAAGTCAAAAATTCATGAACATGATGAAAATAGAAGCATATTATCCTGCTTCCTAATGAGAAATTTAGAGACAAAAGATAATTGTGATTTGAATGTAGTATTTTCATTCTATCTACATAATAAAGACATTTTTCAATCCTCTCTCACTTATAAGAAAGATGCAGTCATTTTTGAAAATGAACAGAAAATGAACTGACAGTCTTTGTTGATATTGAACCTTTAACAAGTAAACTTGATGTCATTTTTGTCATTTAATTTTGATACAAAAACATATCTGACCACTCAAATGCAATATGAACCAACCTCTTTCTGGTCCTCCATCACAGTCAGAATGGTTTCCATAGTATTGAGGATACCTAGAGCTGCAATGGCCTTCTCCTCTGAACCCTCAATGTCTGCATCTATAACCTGGGCAAATGTCTGGGCCTGCAGGCAAAACCATCATAATTAATGTACCTCAGTGCAATGTTTATTTCTGTCTTGACTGGAAACAAAATATTATGGTTGTAAAACATTTTTTTTGTTAATTTCTGTAGATTGAGAGCATCTCTTTACTGGAAAAGAACTTCAGGAAAGATTATTTTTAAGGATATTTCTATGGCACAAGTCTAAAACATGAATTTAAAACATTTTTTATGTATTTTTGAATATTTTAGGTCCGTAACATTTTAAAGAGGCAAAGTATTTCCAAAGTATTTTCAATTTACCACTTATGAATCTATCATTAAGTTGAAAAAAAAAAAGTTCCCCCCCCTCCCCAACCAAGGGCTATGTATATCAGGGTACAAATTCTGCTCTATCATTTCAAACAAAAACTTACAAGATGTGTCATCATCTCCACTGCAATAGGGATGACATCATCAGTATATGTGCACACTAATCTCTGCATCACACTTGTCAGCTCATCACTTTCAGTTTCTCGTATTAACTTAAGAAGTTCTGTAAAAAGATGATGTATACATAATATATATACAAATGAAATCTAATGCATTTACCTCAATGGACAAGATATATGACTTCTTAGGATAGGTAATATACTGAAAACTTTGATCTTCAGAAGAGCACATTAAAGAAACCAGGTAAGGGACATCTCCAGTATAATATATATCCCATGAGATGACTCCAGAAATAAAGACATCTTTGTTTGTTGCAGAAAATTTGGCTCTATTCAAACTGTTTGTATTGAATCAGTAATATTGGTTGTTCTTGTTTGATGATTCTGGTGTTCTCTTGTTGTGTACCTAATTTTTAAGACTATAAATTTTTAGGAAATTTTGAAAATTGATTTTTGAATACATAGTTCATGGAATCATTTTTGTTTTCAACTTACCTAATATTACTGGCTTGACATGTGGCTGTACATATTGTTTAGCTGCAAAAGAAAGACATACAATCAAAACACATTAAATGACTTTGCTATTATTGACATGGCATTAAATCAAAGCCTCTGGCTAACTTTACAAAACATGAAAGTAATGTGTATCTGAAGTTCTGTAAATGTCAGACCCCTAATTTTAGAAGGATAGAACTAAACACAAACAAACGAGATTTAATTGCTACATATTCCCTCCATTAAATAGCATCCCTTTTAAATAATGTCAAACAACAAGAGAATAAGAAAAGATAAAACTAGAAAAATTTCCATTTAAATTTGATAAATATGAGGATTATACTGCATCCAAATTTTTTGGGACTAAAAATCTTTCATCAAATTTTAACTGGACAATTCAGCATATTACAGTCCCCACTGAATATGAAATTATTTGCTAAGAATGCACTGTAAGTGAATCTATGTCCAAAGTAAGAAGAACCACTAATTAGTAGTGGAAGATGGTATCAAAACATTTTTTTGATGTAGGTCAAAAGTCAAACTGTAGGCAAAACTAACCTACTTTTGATACATTATACATCACCAACTACCCAAGTATGAAGTTCCAGTAATGAGTAGTGTAGGAGATGAATTCTGTTTATTGAATTAAAACTCTTGATGTAGGTATGAAGCATGAATCAAGAAGCATTATAACATCATTAACCTTTCTCCTGTTCTGTGATTAGCATCTGCATGGCTATGGCAGCTTCAACGCGCACCGGCAATTCCTTGTCTGTACACAAACATTTCTGTGTCAATTCAAGAGCTTGGAGCAGATTGGCATCATTTCGAAATTTCAGCTCACAAAAATGTTTCAGCACCCAGCAACCCTTGAGGAGAAAAGAAATGAAAATTAGCTTTGAATGCAATTTTCAAATTATTAGTGACTTGTAACATAGCTGGTCAATACAATAACCAATAGTAAAACATACAGCTCAATATATTTTGTAAACTTCATATATCTTATTATTTTAAATTCACAGCTATCAATTTTTGATTATTTTCATAAATAGGTTTTTAATGAATTGAATGGAATAAATCATTACCTGGTCTACCATGATGAACAGACACAAGTTTGTGGTGTTTTGATACCATTATAAATTTAATTTCTCCTACAGAACCTCTTTGAAATTCAATTATGAAATATTCAATGTAAAAAAAACATACTCTGGCTCGAAGGAAACCATGTTCACTAGTGAATTCTGGGAAAACATGCGTTGTGAGCATCATCTCTGCCTGGTCTTTGTATATCTTCCTCTGAAAATAAAAGTTAAAATCTCGGTAATCTAATTTTCGAATAAGTTACCAAAAAGTATTAAAGCCATTTAAGGGGAAAAAAATTGTCATTTGCAAAAATGTTTAAGAGCAGATAAAAATTTCAATAGTCACAAGAATTATTGAAATCACCTTCAGTAGTATTTCTGCAACAGCTCCAATCATATGGAGAGCACCATCTTTTTGGCGTGGTTCAATGGCAGGCTGTGTAAGCACTTGCATACAGAACCCCATCGCCTTCTGTAGGACCTCCTTCCTCTTTGATGCAGCCGAGTAAAATAAGGTCTGAGCAGCAATGACTGGTGAGAGGAAATCTTCAAAAACATCTGATGATGGAAAAAACAAGAAATCTTCAATTTTATACAGAATTTTTCATCTAAATCATATTTAGGGACAATTACCACATAACATGATGAACCAGACCTATCCAATACAGTCAAAACTCATTATCTCAAAATTTAAGGAATGGTGATGTTTCAACTTATCCAATTTTCGACTCAAAGTGTCCAAGTAAAGTTGATAATATAAATTTCCTGATGTTGAAGGTTTAATAACGTGTGATAGCATGGTACTCTGTGGTGCAAACAATGTAATATAATATGTTATTTCAAAGGACAGTAAATAAACAGAAACAGATTTCTACTTTCTAAGTTTTCTTGTTAATTCATTCAATAACAAAACATGTAATAACGATATTGATCAACTATGTATAAAGTTGTGCTCGCTTTGTTCCGCGCTGCCCACATGTACACTTCCCTTACTTGCAAAGCACATTTTGATCATATGCTTTACAGAACCAAACTCTGCTTACACCTTTTCTTACTACAAACAATTTATCAAGCTATGTATCATATTAAAATCATTTCATTATGAATGAATAAACATATGAAAAAGGCAACACTGGAAAGTTTTTCCCTGTTATAGAAAACATTATACAAGGACTAGACTTAACAAATCATGCACAGACATTGTCTATATCAACGGGGAATTGTCCAAGCACTATGTACCCCGCTAAAGTCCGTTTGTAAACAAGTACAAAAATTAGTTTCTCTCAAAATTGTCAGATTTTGTTAAAAAGTCTGTACTGGTTTGACAGTTTCGCTTTTTTACCTAAAGATGCATTTAACAAAGGTAACTGCTTTCATGTCTTGTGTACATGCACTGCTTGTTTAACATACAGGTAAGTCACTGTTATTGGATGATGACACTTATTAAGAAGCAAGGTGTTGTGTGTTAATTTGACAGAATTTCGACTCAAGTGATTTCAAGACAATGTGTTTCAAATGTATAGTGTAGTCTTGTCAAAATTAAACTCATTATTTGAAATAAACAATTACTCTTCCAATTACCATGCTTTTGTGATGCAGAAATGTTTTTGTATTCCTAAAATATAATTAACAGAAATTTCAATGGTTTCCAAAGGAAAATCCTTAATATATATTTTACTAGTATAATGGCATATATAAATATTTTGAATTCACCCTTTTATAAAAAAAAAATGACATTCCATTATATATATTCAACATTACTTTTTATAAATTTCATTGAGTAGAAATGATACAGGATATGAAACAGGGTACATACCTCACTGGGGCATACAATTCTAACAGTTGAATCCCACCTGGAAAGATTTTATGCCAAGACTAGAGATTTTTTTAATTTGTATCTTCTCCTTTGAGTTACTCTGCATATTTGATGTGTATATATTCCATTTAGTCAGTGTTCCACCGCCCTACTCCTGTGAGTTACTAACCATATTTAATAGGTATATATTCCAGTGGTTTGGTGTTCAACAACCTCACTCCTACAAGCTACTCGCTGTATTGAATATGTATATATTCCAATGGAGTAGAGTTCCACAACCCTTTTTATTTGAGATACTCACCATATTTGATACGTATATATTCCTGTGGGTCGGTGTTCCACAACTCTTCATCCTCATCACTGTGACACATCAAGGGGAAGATAACTTCCTGGATAATACTCTGCAAACAAAGCAAACAGAATTCAGATTTCCTTACTATCTCTACTCACAGCAAACTTCTCTTACATACATTTGTTTTGAATGCATCCTGTGATGTAACGTCGGTCAAACATGCAGAGCCATTTTAAAAATTAAAAAAATAAGATAAAAGATTTTCAAAACACAATTTCATTTCATTGTGTCAAAACGGAATATTTACCATTTAGAATTTGGACATTCACCTTGAGTAATTCTGATCAATTTGATTTAACCTCTCAGAAAACTTTTCCCAGTAAAAATAATGTAAATTTAATCATGATCATCTGACCTACATGACTGAAATATGATGCATAAGTTTCATCAAATGATCTTTAGATGATTAAAAAGTACACTCTGAAAAATTTATTTGAAAAAATAATTAGTGGGCATCGAGTCTGGATCAAAATGTCAACACAGAAAAGGTCATCATTAAATAGCACTTACCTGAATGTGTGGTTTGATAAACTTCCAGGAAAATGCATGGCTGACCCTAAAATATGTTTCATAGAAAACATAACATTATCAATTAATGTATGAATACCAAAATTGAAATCAAGCAAATTGTTTGATTCACTAAAACATTAACCAAGATATAAAAAGTTGCTTTAAGTTTAATCCTCTACCATTATGTTGAAGCTTTACAGTAAACATATCTGAATCCATAACCAATTACAGTGTGTCTTACCCCTGGTTCAGGTAGTTGATGGTTTGCTGTAACACCCTCGGGGCCACATACAGTTTCTGGCGATATTGATCCAGTACCTTGAGAAGGACTTGCACTATCCCTCCTGAAATGTGAAAACAAAAAGACCAACATCACACTATGGTTCTATATGCAATATTGTGTGGTTAATACTGCAACTTAATAAATAATTGTATTGGATCTTACACTAATTTCCATTTTATTGAAGAGAAAAAAAATCTTTTTAGAGAGTCTTTGACATACTGAAGGAAAATTTGAGACAATTTTCATAAATCACATTTGAAATTAAAATGAATTAAAGATCTGTGATAAAAAGGATCTAAAATTCATAATTTGCAGATATGACATTACTTCATGATCTAATCCCGACATTAAAATAGTTCATCATATTGCACAGGTTCACAAATTTGTGACAATTTTATACCCACTTAATAACACAGCTATCATGTGGAAAGATGAAACACTATATATAGTCAGTTGATTAAAAACTTCTTTTGACTGACTCAAATTTCAGTGCACTATGATATTTTAGAGGCAGTGGCATTCAGTATGTGTATATATGTTAGGTAAACTATAGTTAACACAATCACTAAGTATTCAAAACGTTCGTCTCTCAAAAATATTTAAGTAGTACACACACCCGAGAATGCCTTGAGATACCACTCAGCAAAAGATGTATAGTCCTTAATTACAGTTCCCGGGCTGCCGTATCTGTTACAAAAAAAAAAGACATTTTAGTTCTGTAGTGTAAATCCACAAGAACATATCAACTATCCCAGGTATATAATCCTTGGTGTATCAGTCCTATCAATGCAGAAAGAAAGCTAAGGAAATTTATCTTTTTAGAAAACAAGACTGTATCAGAGATTTAAGGAGACATAACTTCAAAGATCTAGTGCAGTGTTTGGTATTACACAGGACATATGGAAAAACCTTGCAACATTTATTTATGCTTACAAAACAATCAGCTATTCATTTCCTCAAAATGCAATAAAATATTGGAGTAACTTGTATGGCTGTACCTTTCAAATATCCTGGTAAGTATGTGAACAGCCCATTTCTTGACCTTCCACCAGGCCAACTCTGCTCTTTCCTCCTCGTCAATCTGATTGGTCTGCTGTTAAGATTAACAGTGTAAAAATAATGAGCATTTCAGTAGTGAAATCAAAGGTCGCTGAATCAAATATATTTCATATTAAAGCTACTTTTGATTATGTTTTAGAGATTGCAATTTATTACTAAAAAGTATATAGTACTCTAAATCATACATATTTAAAGTGATGTACACATTTAAGATATTTAAAAATATGAACAAAAACATTTGGGGTCTGTATGGTTCAACAAATTCAGACCAAATTTGGGCAATTTCCAATCATTCCTACTGGAAGAGTAGGATTTTGAAGAGTTTGCTCTATTTCCCATATTGGTCCCTGCCCCTCCCGCCACAGAGGATCAAGACCCACTGTTTATAAACAATTGACTTCCCTTCACCCAATAATACCTTAAGACCAAATTTGGGCAAAATCCAATCATTCCTACAGGAGGAGTAGCATTTTAAAGAGCTTGCAACTTTTCCCCTTATACCCCCTATCTTCAGGCCCCAGGTGGTTCAGATGCTCTGTTTATAAAAAAGTGAGACCCCCTTCCACTAAGGATGCTTCTGACCAAATTTGGTCAAAATCTGCTCAGTTGTTCTTGACTAGTAGCAATTTTTTGAAAAAGCTGATGGATGGATGATAGATGCCACACCAAGACATTAGCTTACTGGTTCTTTGGATTAGGTTAGGTAATAAATCTAAGAATCTGGTATTGATTTACCTCTGGTACAGGTCGGTCAACAATCTGTCTGATCAACTCCATCCACTGAGTGAACACTTCCTTAGATATAACCTCTTGGGGCAGGTAATTCTACAACAGATAGATATACATAGAAACAAAAGTCTGTACATGAACTAGTTAACAAACATTTTGACATTAGACTTATTGATAACACACCATAGAAAATTGATGAAAATTAAAAACTAGCACTTTCTAATACAGTTTCAGACATTTTTTGGACCAACTTAAATTTTCCTGAGTTGATTCCAAGGTTTAAACAAGAGTACCCCAAAGCGGAACAAAATACGCCAGTGAATTTTATATAGTGAAATAAACAAAGGGCCATAACTCTTGTTCAAATCACCAAATCAAAACCCAGTTCAGGAAAACACAACTTCATATCATGGTGATTAAGCCTACCAAGTTTCATAAAGATCGACTGAAAAATGTTGGAGATCTCTGGACAAGATTTCTATAGTGAAATAAACAAAGGGGCATAACTCTTATTCATATCGTATAATCAAAACCCTATTCAGGAAAACACAATTTCATATCATGGTGATTAAGCCTACCAAGTTTCATAAAGATCGGCTGAAAAATGTTGGAGGAGATCTCCGGACAAATAAAATTTTATGACCGATGCCGGACGGACAGCGTCATACCAGAAAGACGGACGTATAAAAATTAGGCCCTTAGCATCACTGACAAGTATGAAAAGGGTAAAACAGCTCTATGATACAGTTTAAATATCAATTTGGCTCTACTGTATCTAAGACTAATTTTGTATAGCATATACCATAAGTCTCTATAAAAGTATTTGGTAAAATCATTAGCAATATCTTTACACTCCCTTTTATGGTTCTATCTACTCACAAAAAAATTATGTAGCTAATTTCTTAGTTCTAAGAAAATGTATCCATGATTATAATGCATCTAAATGTACCAAAATAATCAAATATTATATTTTAGTTTGCCTTCTCAAAATTGAAAAAGTTGTTCTAAATGTAGAATACCTGAATTAAGTTACCCAAGCTCTCTTGCCCTTTTTTATTTATTGCTAATGTATTTTCACTTTTGAACATACCCAGGTATTTGAAACATGAGCATTTCTAACTAAGGAATAAAAAACATATAAACCTGAATGAATGCATAATAAATCTTGAGGATCTGTTTTTGCAGCAATACTGCATGTTCTGACTGGTCAGGGAGCATCTCCAGGCATCGTTGGTACACCATAGGCAGCATCACTTGCATCGAATTATGTAAAACCTTGCGTTCGTCTGGTCTCTTGTACCTGTTTAGGCAATCAAAATACGTCAATGACAGAAATCTTATTCACTTAAGTTAAATGAGTTTATAAGCACTAAACTGATTCAATTAATTGAATGTATACACAGATAATTACAACTGATACAAACATCAATCAAACGAGTTTGTACAATCTTCTAATGTAAAAATAATGCCCATCATTATTGTTAATAGTCAACACATGGCTATCTGTGCTTTCATAATCAAAGAAATTCTGACAGATGGTTGTAATTTGCTTCCTATTTTCCTGAAATGCAGCCTTGAACTTAAAATGTTTTCGAGCAATGCTGTTATTTACTATGAAATGTGTGTTGCAGCATCAATACTAAAGAGTATAGAGGCAACAGTTGCTGTGTGACTAACATTTAACACTATGACCTTACTAAATAGAAACCATGTTACTTACTCAAAGACTTTGACTAGTTGGTAGAGTGACATGAGTGCACCCATCCAGGCGCCATGGTTGTCAGCATGCATATACATAGCAATCTTTTCCACTAGAGTTGGCCAGCGGCCTGGGTAGTCGTACTTGATGATGTGGCTAAGAGCAACACATAACTGAACACGAACAGGCTCTGGAGCTTGTATGATCGCTTCTACCATGTTCTCGCGGATTGTCTGGCGGTCTTGCTCATGAATATTGAACGGAACTGGGTCGCTTGGGTTTTCAACCTCCCTGTCCTGCCAGAACTGGGTGACTGTGTTCTTTAAGTAGACCACACCTGGTAAATGACATCCAAATATATAATCACTGAGTATATTGTCTATCCAAACTATTCAAATCTGTTAGTCATCTTTAGAACAACAATTTGAAACTGTATGACATGGTCGTAAGAAATTGCATGCATACTTTTGAAAATAATGTCACTACAGCTTTTATGTACATCTTCATTTCAACAGGCACATAGGAGTTTGATATCATATCATTTAACTATCATTCTAAACATGTGTTTGGATTGCAACGCTTGACATGAGCATTACAGGAACCATCAGCTGTTAATGACTGGAGGAACCACTCACCTGCTTGTCTTACTGGCATGTCTAGCTGGTCTGACATCACTACTTGCAGTAGGATGGGTGTAAAACCAATTATCTTATGGACCTACAAATAAAAAAAAATGAAAATATGACCATCTACTTCAATAGCTATTTTGCTTATCATAATCATTTTTAATCTGAATGACCTGTCGCAATAAACTTTTTGTGGAATATTCAAGTTGTGAAATCCATATTATCACATTCAGCTGAGGTATACCTTGATACCAAAGATGATGGGTAACACAGTGTTAAAAACCAGAACAGGTCTTCAACCCTCAATTTTGTTGACCACTTGATAATACATTACTGTTACTATCACTATAAAAGGTTTTATTCTGTACATGTACAGCAATGAATCTAAGAAGTCCCAATCCATCTTCTTCATTGCATTTTCTTGAAATATTGTAACTTTGCTGGAGTCTATAAAATGGCAACTGCACCAGTTCTTAATTTTTCTGAAATGTTCACTATACACTTCAGATAATAAAAGTCGTCGGTCTTATATGACAGTTTGGAGATTAAAACAACAAAAAAATAAAATGTTTTAATCATCTGCCATTCACGCTAGCATTACGGTGAATCTAATTTTTTTTCGTTTCCCGTCATTTTGATGATGTATCTGTGGAATTCAATGAATCTGGAAGTTTTTAGGCGATTGTCGTTCTGTTCATAGATCGGACAGCACATCCCACCGATGCCCAAAGTTGGTGACCCCATGACCTCTCTTGATCTGCATGGCCCGCACGCGCAGCTCTGTTGTACTGGCAGCGATGCCGGGATATCGGCGATCGCATACAAAGTTGAACAGCTCTCTCTCTCCATCTCTGGGTGTTTCGCTGTCGCACCTATGTCAGCCCTTCCGGTCAGTGGTTGGGACTTTAAACGGTCTTTTCTTTCTTCCGGGCCTTGATATTTCACTCTGGAATGTTGAAGTGGCGACCGGCGGCACGAAACTCCAGTCTCTCGGCGTAGTCAAATGGTGTTCGCAGTTTCCCCATGTCGAAGTTGGTGTAAACAATCTATCATTAAATACCTTCGGATACCGCGGTAGGTACAGATACCATGAAAGATCATGCCTATACTGAACAAACCACCTGCTTTTATGGGGACAAGGTAGGATTGAAAATGTTCAGACAGTTAAACAACATCGTTTTCTGACCAATAGTACGCGTTCAGCCCAAGCCCGGTGTCATCAGTCTCCTCATACTCAACGTGTTAACTGTCATTAACCGTTAATTATACAATCAGCCAAGCCTTTCATGCTTGTTAGGTCACCTGGGTAAATTTGTTTACTTAAGGTAATTACAGGTGTTAGGGTCACGCTCATTGTGGTTTCCTAATTATCAATGGATCAGACCACATCAAATGTTTCGTCGCAGTGACCAGTCAATTAATTTTTCTGTAGATTTTTTTTTTTTTTTTTAAATCTGATCTCCAAAAAGTATCTGCGCACTATACGCGAATATTTACAGTATTTTCCACTATATTGTCAAATTGATCATTGTTAACCAAACAGTATATCATTTGGTAATGTACGCTGTGATTTAAAAGACTTTTTCGATGAAAAACTGAACCCATACTCCTATGGTTAAGACACTAAATGGGTTGTAGCACAAGCGCCAAGGACCTTTGAAATTTTAAAAATTCTATTTCAGGGGTAGTCAATCAAGGTGCTACAAATACCACCTACTTTAATTTGGTGCATGGGTAAAGTTCCATTGTTCCTGAAAGAGATTCTTTTGAAAGTCATAGTCCGATTCATTTAAAAACAGCAAAACTAGATTGACTAATTAAACTTTACAAGGGGGATAATTTTGATTACTAAACAAAGAATGTAGTGGTTTGGTTTTACAAAGCAGCCTATCAAATTTTTCTTAAAAAAAAACAAACAAAAAAAAAAAAACAAGAGAAACCTGAGGGATATTTGCACCTACCATTGTTTTATCTTTATTTTTTCTTTTAAGTTATATGAAATCAAAAAATTTCTCTAAAGAAACAGCAATAATAATCTTTAACTGTCAAATCAAAGGTAGTCACCTGTTAGTCAATTTTATTTTTTCAATCAGTCCCAAAATCCAAAAGACACAACCAGGGACCAAGAGAAATCAAGAAATTTGAGAAAGATCCCTCCATTATTTCTTTTGACATAATGATAGCAAACTTTCATTGCCAAAATCCAAGATGGCCACTTGTAACCAGTCTTTTTCTGAGTCCCAATTTCAAATGGGCACAATTAGGGACAAAGGGAAAGGTACATTCATAGAAAATTTGAGTGAAATCTATTCAGTGCTTCCCAAGAAACAGTGATAACACGTTGTTTACGAATGGATGGAAGCCACTTGACAGATGTAAGGCCAATTTAAATAACACACCGTTATCAGATAAAAATTATCACATACAGTTATCTGCTTATCTGACTATATTTTCTAAATATTTTGACAATCTTCAAGGAAGAGGACCATAGACCTATACAGAGTTACGTTACTAATCTCAACTGTACTAATCTGTATGTATTGTCAAACTGAACTGAGATCTTACTGATATTAATCTTGAATACCAGATTTCATCCCAATGCTGACAAAATTTGATGAAAATCTCTACATCTTAACTCTAATTCTTTTTGTGTTCAAAAAATCAAACGATAAAAACAAGTATCAGTGAAATTGATGAAAGCTCATTGAAAACAATTTTCTTGGACACAAAATTTTAACAAAGGACAATATCTCTGCAATTAAGTTGTTGCCAGCCCTAACATTGGTTAACTGCACATTCACTTAGTATGATAAATGTATACACCAAATTTCATTGTCCTATTTTAAATGCAAACAATTTAATGTTTCGATCCGGAAATGAAGGGGTTTGTGGCTGTTGACTATGGTACACTGCACATCGTTTTAGGAAAGAGCAATAACTCTGTAACTGAAGTGTTGTGGGCCCTGCACTTGATACACTGCCAATATGACCAACGTAAACACCATGTTTCATGATCCTTGGTAAACTGTGAGGACATGAACGCACACACATATAAAGTGGCAACTATATCAGGGGTCCGGAAAAGCACTCGTCCGGTCATCATGGACGAGTGAAAATTGTCTCGGACAACCAGATTTATCTTTGTCAGTCGTCCGTTGGACAAGTACTTTTTTCCAATCATATTAATTTTACAACTTAAATTTCAATAAAAATGTAAAGACAATTTAAAATGAAGAAACATGTCACATCCTCGCTGATTAAGTCACCATTTCATAGCTGAATTTGGACGAGTAAATTTTTCATCCCACCAGGACTGTGCCTAGTGGTTTAAAATATCTTTCCAGACCCCTGAACTATATGCTCCCTCGAAAAATGTTCAGGAAGCATAAATATAAATGGTCCTATTGATGAATCCATGCGAAATCTTATTAAAAAAAGTTTCATTAAAATCTGTTCCAATAATTAAGTTATCATGGTCAAAAATCCCAAGGTAATAAAAACTCTAAGTAACTATAAAATCTGAAATTGTCATTTTTGTCCCAGATTTTTTTTTATATAAGGCTGTTTACCACTTTTTCATCAAAATCTGTTCATATTTACTCAAGTAATCATATACATAAGGTCCATGGTAATAAAGATGCAAAGGGCCATAACTTGTTTGTTTAAATTTTGTTAAAATTGCATCCATTGTCAAATTCATATCAAATAATGTTTATACATGGCTGTATATCAAGATGCATCAAAATCAATCCATTTTCATTTCACAAGGTCCAATGGCAATTGGCAAAGGGCCATAACTCTGCAAATAATCAATTCAAACCCATATGAAGTTTGATAAAAAAAAACCTGTTTATATGATGATGATTGAGTGAGTCTATAAGTGAATCCATATTATGTACTGTTATGTTTTGTCATGTGTGATTTGAAAAAAAAAAAAGTTTATAATGACTCCAGTTATCTTGTTCACAAGGTCCAGTGGAAATAAATCTGAGATCTTATTGATACAAGACTGAAGAAATAAAGGAAGAAGGATTGCCTTAAAAAAAAAAATGAGAGAGGAAAAAGTATTTAATGAAAAGTCAGCAAAAACATCTGTACTTTTTTTTTTGGATGGAGGGGTGCGGAGTCACATTCAAGTAAAAAAATATATAGGCACAATATTGTCTTAAAACAGCTTTTCCACATCGATATAAGTATTGGAAGAGACCCAAATGTCTATTAGGAATGAGATATCCATTTATAAGTGTAAAGGGTTCTTTTTAAAGGCATATCAGAAAAAAACTAAACATATGTCACATAGATGTGCAATTTTTCCTTTGATCTAGCTATGGTTATTTGTCAAAAGGCATGTCATGTTTCCTTTGATCTAGTTATGGTATAACCAACATTTTTTTTTACTAAAACCACATGGTATTAATAAAAACTCCTACCTTTTACAAAGTACAATAAAATTCTCAATTCTCTTTTTTCAGGCAATGAAAGTCGAATGTGGCCAATTAGTGAGCTGATTGAATATCAATTCAGTGGGAAAGAACAAAAAGTACAAATACAGTAACTTCAAGCACATTTTATTCATCAACATTGTTGTAAACAATTAAACAAATTTCACCTTTACTGATATGATTAGCAGTTTTGGTCTATTATTTTGTCCCCATCGTTCATCATGAACTATGTCTTGCAATTAAAAGACACATTTTTGGCCATAGTTGAAATATCAGCAAATGGAACCTTGTCTTTGTCTGGAGGCAGGTTTATATTCACATTAGTAGGCTAAATATCAGAAGTAACAATTTTCACCTGTAGCACCCTCAATTTTGACAATCTGCTCAATTCCAAAAGCTGTGCAGCTCACAGTCTCTAGTAAGCACAAATTGCTGTGGTCTTGAGACCAGCTTGGGACTAACTTTTCATCAATTTTTACATGACACATTATGTGACAAGTCAGTTAAATCATATGGTGTTAGTTATTTTCCTTATCAATGCATTTTCGGACAAAAGCAAAAGTTGTTTCATAATATAGGCCATGTTTTTATGAAAATATAAGTTAAAATTTTGATACGTTGTTAGAATATTAATTATTATATGTACATATTGTTTTGTTTTTCACATTTTCAAATGAAAACTCAAACATATGATTTGTTGCCATCTTGTGATTTACTGGTGGTTCCTTTTTCCTGTTGAAATTGTTTACTTCATATGAATATTACTTCATCAGTATATGTCTATGTATAACTTGTTGCCGAAACAACCCTCATTCCATCAAAGGCCTCAAAATGTGTTATTTATTGTATTGGCGCTATGCACCTGAGAAGTAGCCTCGTCCCTCTCTTCGAAAAATGGACATATTGCTCAGTTCCTATGACATATCTAATACATATACAGATGGTATATACAAATATGTGGTCAAAGACAGGGTTGACATTTCTGAGTGGGGGTACAAAAGAAAGTCTGACAATTATTTAGCACACATTAGCACATTGAAGTCTGTGACAATCTGTCATCAAAAGCAAGTCAAAAGTATATGCATTAATGATCGCCATGATATCCTTAACTTTCTCAACTCTTTTTCTCTATCTTTCGCGGCCTTTCCTCAGCAGAATCAATCAACTGTTCAGGAGCTTGTAATCTGTCACTTATCATTATTTCGTACTCCAAACATACGTCATTTAATCGCACACATTAGAAAAGGGTGTTGATTGAGCGATCGAAAATAGTGTTTCAGTAGCATGAGTACGTCCAAAACCAACGAGAATAATATTCATCACGAAAACATGCACGTGTTTTTAATCATGATTAATTATGAAATGAAGAATGTGCCAGATATGTCAATTAAAATAAAAATCAATGAAACCGTCAATTCATATGATTAAATAAATCAAAAGTTTAAATATTTTCTTTCATAAAGATATAGTTAAAGGCCAAATGCAAGGTAAATGAAGACTCATCTGTCGCCTATCCTAAATTTCTGCCATGTTGGAAAAACGTGTCTCGGAGTTTTACCTCATGTAGCTGTTCTTCAGCTTGTTCGCGTTGATTAGGATCCAAAGTCGCTCTGAGCACTTCAACGAGTTTTCCAACATCCATTTTCGAAGGGCTTAATGGACGACAAATGTCAAATCTTAGATGGTCGATTGCCCTCTGGCCCTTAGAAAGGGTTCAAGCCGGTCGCGCCAACACTGAAAAGAACCCCTCATGGAGGTGACATAAACTGTCGACGTATGTCGTAAACCTTTTCTAAAAACGTAATTGGTATATTTTGTAATATTATCTTACTTATTTATAGACTTCCATTACTGAATTGTACCACTTAATACTAGTATTTCAGTATTGTTAAATCAAGTCGATGGTTTTATTTTAAGGAATGCTGCAAAACTTTACGGGAGAGAATGCATGACCTTTAACCTTTCCCGGAAGCGTACGGAAGACCACTATCGAAATTATATTTGTTTGTGGTAAATACGCTAGAATATACGAAGAACCGAAAAGATTATATGGTGGAGGATTACACAGCTATTGAATCCATATTTTCAGTTTTCTACGCACAAAATCATGTATGCTGACATTTTATCGAAGAGTTTTTAATGTCATTTATTTCCATTTAAATGGGTGAAAATGTTGGCACTGATCCAAAGTAATCACATGCGATTGAATATGCACTTATGTGTCAAGAGTTTCCGTGCACGAACGCAGCATACTATTATTCTTATGTGTCCTTCAAAGCTGAGTGCATTTCAATTAAACCATAACATATTTCGATCATATAAAAATAATTGTTGGTTAGTAGTAAAAAAACAAGGACCATTATGGGGAGATGGGTTTAATATCCTCAATCCATAGGTATCTGATGCAAAGAAACACACTAATGTATGCAGTAATTACTGTTTTTTTAAACATGAGATACCATGTTCTGTCGTCTATCTTGAACTTGTCCTTAATTCTTATCACTATTTTTGAGAAATTCAGTAAGGATATTTCTCAAACGTCATACATGTATTTAGGTTCCTGTAGTCCCTAGTCGTACCCATCCAGTTTGGAATCTGATCAGAATTACAAAATGGTTGATTTGCTGCTATCTAGGATTTTCACAATCAAATATTATCTCAATTTCTACAGCAACAGAGAGGATATTTCCCAATCTTGATCGTAGACTCCCTCAGTCCCCAGTTGAACCTCATATTTTAAGTATGATTTGGAATACATCATGGACTACAGGTGACAGTCTTGGATTTTGCTACTGAAAGTTTGTTATCACTATTCTTTGATAATTACTGGATAGATTTTTTGTTTTTATCATATCTAGGTTCCCTTTGGTCTTGTGCCCTTTTGATTTTGGGACTTACAAATGCCCAATGGCTGATAGATGGCCATATTTGGTTTCAACAGTTGAAGTTTTCATCACTATGCCTGAAAAAGTACTGATAGGATATTTCTGAAACTTGATTTGTAGGTTCCCTTCCATCCCTAGTCATGGTCATTCAGTTTGGAGTCTGATTGGCAAAGCAAAATGGCCAATAGGCGACCATGTTAGATTTCGACAGTTGGATATTGTTTTCCATATTTTTGAGAAGTACTGGAATGATATTTCTGAATCTTGATTTATAGGTTACCCTTGGTCCCCATTTATGCCCCTTCAATTTTGAGTGTGATTGTTGGATCCTGGCATATAAGATGGCCTATAGGAAGTCATGTTGGATTTTGACAATGAAAAGTTTCTCAACACTGTTTCTTAAGGGGCACTAAATGATTTTTTCTCTCTGGACCTTGACAGTGAAAGATTGGTTTATTCCTTCGGAAGAACTGAGTGAATCATTCTCAGATTTCAGATGTTGGTTTTGGGACTAATCAGAAAAACTAAACGACTGAAAGGCAGCCAATCTGAATTTTCACAAAGATTATTATTGCTATTTCTTGAAAGAAATTTTGAAATGTTACATTATTAAGAGCAAAAACTAGAGAAAGAAAAGAAAATATTCAAATTTTAAAAAAGAAAGATTAAACAATTCTGGGATCCATTATCCCTTTGAGAGTTCAGATTTTTCACTAATGGTACATTCAGTTAAGATCTATCAAAACATCTTTTGATTAGATAGACATCATTTGAATTGCAAGAGGTTCCAGAAGTATTTATGATTACCGAAATATTCTCCAATATATGTATGAGTATACAATACAGGATAATGCCTTAAAACTTGCTTAATTTTTTTCAGGTATGTTTCCATACCCCTCATATAAACCACACTCCTGAATGACTTGACATGGAGTCCTATTATCTGTTTAATGGCAGTATGTCTCCAAATCAAGTGCTGCCTCACCCCAGCTATTACAACAGAACAGTGTACTGCCAGGAACACCAAATACCACCTGAACTACAAAATCGCACATACAGATGCCAATCCCTGCCACCTGCAAGGCTTTGTCCCAAGTGTCATCTTATTCCTTTGCACCATAAAGCTGGGACAATTAAGTCCTTTGTCAAAGCACATTTCCTGAAACTTGCTGATGAAAAAATCTCACATTGGACTGAATTTCAAAGTCACTTCAGATACTACTGGCCATCTTTTTATAGAACCTGTGTATATAAGATAAGAGATATGCGACAAATAAATCCAGCCCAATAACTTATATGTGTGTTGAAACATGCAAACAGTGTTGGTCACATCTGCCAATGATGATCATTGGTACGTCTTTTAAAACAGGTATTAGTAACATTTCCAATTATGATGGCTTTCTTTAAATGGCAATTCAAATTTAAAATCAGAGATTTGTCAAGATTTCTATTTTACTGCACATTTTGCAATGATTAAAGAACAGATTAAAATTGAAATGTTGATATTTCTATCCTTACATATGGCTAAGTACACTTTGAAATCACATGCCAAGAAGTTTTGACACCTTTTTGATTAGGGGATATTCCAACCAGCTTGCATGTACTGTGTATCATTGATTTTTGTTTGTTTTTTGTTTTGTTTCTAGGGAATCAAGACCAGAGACCAAGTATGACAGGCTAGACCAAACAAACAAACAAGTAAAGGAGGTGACCAGCCTACTTAAGGATAATGTTGAGAAAGTGTTAGACCGAGGTGAAAAAATTGACCGCCTGCAAGAGAGGTCAGGTATGTGGAAATCAGAATTGTCACAAGGTCTTCTTTTTGTGAATAACTTAAGAATAATCATCTGTAGGTCTGTTATACATATCTGGGGAAACCCTAAAACTTCTTGATAGATTTACCATGTATTGTCACTGCTAATTTAGAATTTTAAATATTATTTGGTACGAAAAAGAGTTACATACTGTGAATGATAAATTATTTGTTTACATTTATCAAAACAAGATGGTAAAGGAAAAAGTAAAAAGTGATGAGTTTGAATCACAAAATAATTATTTGCACACTTTAAGGGACAATTTAGTGGATATTGGATTGTTTTCAACAAGTTTCCTTATAAAAACCAGTTTATTTTGCCTGATGAATATTTCATGGGTAAATGTTGACAGAAGCAACATTTGAATGTGATAACCAAGGGTCACTATCTGTCTAGCGACAAATAAGGTTTGTTGGTAATCAGAAACTGCACATGGCAACCTACTGAATCTGAAGTGAGATGGATCTTCACTCATGGGATATTCCATTACACTATTCTAAAGTTCCATTGCTTTTACAATATTTGTCATCACAACAAAAGTGTTAAGCGTGATATGTTTTAAACAAACACTGGTTGACCTTCCTGGCAGATAATAAAATATGCCCCTGTAGCCTTCAGTTAAGGTATTTATAGATGCACATTTTACCTTCATGAAAAAACAGGTCTTTTTCTTGCTCATGATAAACATTTTTACACACATGCAGTCAAAATGGTTTCAGGTCCAGGTGTTGCTATAATGAGCATGAAACACAATTTATCACTCACTACAATGGACAACAGCTATTATTGATCACATTAGCAACTGTGGTAGCTGTTGTAAGAGTTACAGTCTGTCAGTTACTTCGTAATTTCAATTTATTTTACTTATCAAAATTGTTGCTCTTCAGACTAAATATGGCCATTTTATTTTGTTTTTCAAAATGTTGGATTCATATTGAAAGTGATTAATAGCATGGATTACAAAGAAACACAATGCATTACATTTCAACCATATAACTAGTCTCTAATTGTGTTTACAGATGCTAATGTACATGTATCTTTGCAGTTCATTGATATCATCTGGTTAATTTTATCTCTTTTCAGAGGACCTGGAGTCAAATGCCATCAACTTCCAGTCTACCTCTCGGCGCCTCCGCAGAAAGATGTGGTGCAAAAACTGTAAAATGAATTGCATCATTGCTGCAGTTGTGTTTGGAGTCATCGCTGTAGTTGTTCTCATTATTGTGTGTAAGTAAAGGATATCTCTACACTAGAGCTAGGATTTGTCACAGACTTTAGAAATTGCTGCAGTTGTGTTTGGAGTCATCGCTGTAGTTGTTCTCATTATTGTGTGTAAGTAAAGGATATCACTAGAGCTAGGATTTGTCACAGACTTTAGAAATTGCTGCAGTTGTGTTTGGAGTCATCGCTGTAGGTGTTCTCATTATTGTGTGTAAGTAAAGGATATCACTAGAGCTAGGATTTGTCACAGACTTTAGAAATTGCTGCAGTTGTGTTTGGAGTCATCGCTGTAGTTGTTCTCATTATTGTGTGTAAGTAAAGGATATCACTAGAGCTGGATTTGTCACAGACTTTAGAAATTGCTGCAGTTGTGTTTGGAGTCATCGCTGTAGTTGTTCTCATTATTGTGTGTAAGTAAAGGATATCACTAGAGCTAGGATTTGTCACAGACTTTAGAAATTGCTGCAGTTGTGTTTGGAGTCATCGCTGTAGTTGTTCTCATTATTGTGTGTAAGTAAAGGATATCACTAGAGCTAGGATTTGTCACAGACTTTAGAAATTGTAGATTATTTGGATACGAGTGTAGTTTAAGGTTTTTTGGAACTGATAGTAGAAATGTCAGTGTTCACGTATGATATTATCTGCTTCCCTTTTTTTAAAGACAAATTTTCAGAAAAAGAAATCTTAAAATGTAAGTCTGGTTGTGTTTTACCTATGTGAAATTAAGTCCAAAATTAGGTACTTGTGATAAATCAGAAATATTTCTTGTATTCTGTGATCTCAACACCAGACATGTTACAAAAAACCCCATATATTACATTTGAACCTAAAACTTTGTGTTTTGTAGTATCTATAAAGCCATGGGAAAACAATAACAGTGATGGTGGTGGCAACAATGGTGGTCATGGTAACGACACGCTGACAATGTGAGGTCAAAGGTCATCAAGAACACAGAGTGTTACATTGCAATGTAACATCCCAAAACAGTGAAACCAAACCCTGAATATTCTGTAAACCTGTATAGCCTCATTGTATACAAACCAAAGTTGTAAATTTTATTTGAACATGTAGTAGTTTTAAATAATGTACTGTGATATTGTATGGTGCTAGCTAATCAGTATCTGCTGAATTCTTACATTATCTACTTTCAGATAATTCATTTTTATGGGGATTTGATTTTGGTTTCTCGATGGGTACTCTAAATCCAGTCAACGAAACAAGAAAAAAGTTGACATGAATTACAGAACTTATGGATTTTTGTGAGCAAGATTTTCCACGAAATTAAGTGCAAATAAAATGCATATAGTGTATACTGTTGAACCTCATTATCTTAAAGTTGGAGGGGTGAGGGAGAAACAATGTTATGAGAACATTCAATTTCGACGAGTTCAAATGTTTGTATTGAAGTATGGTCGAGACTGACTAAATACGTTGAAATAAACTAGGTCCTTGAGTTATATGAGTTCAAGATAAGAAGGTTCAACTGTACATCTGTTTAATAGCTATGAAGATAAATACAATTTTTTAAAGTTATTTGGTATTTTTTTTCTATCAAGATGTACTGCAAATTAATTGAATGACATGATAAAGTATTGCAAGCTGAAATTAAAATGTATATTGAGATTTAAGTAGTGCACATTTAGGATGTTGTAATATGTTACACAAATAAATGTTGGAAGAAACTTAAAGAAAAAAGAACAAAATATCAAATTTAAAACTGATTTATATGTCCAGATGCAGTAGATATATACATATGAATGATAAATAAAATGATTACAAATATGATTGACTTTATCTTGTGAAACATGCCTGACTGAAAAAATCCATTCAATATTTTCATACACATCCATTAATTCATTCTTTCATCTTTCATTCTTCATTTCTCTCCAGCTCATCATGACCATTTAGTTAATCTAAGAACAGGAATTATTAAAATGCAGACGTTATCAACCATCCTCCCTGTGAGCTCCTTAAATCAGATTGTTCTTTATTTGCTGACCTGTAGGAGATATCCTGTAAGTCATCCTTGACTTCTAAGAAGTTGTTTTTGACCTTTGAGAGGTCCTTGATCTGTAACTGGTTGTCTTTGACCTTTAGAGGTTGTCCTTGACCTTTGAGAGGTTGATGTATAACACTTGTCCTTACCCTTAGAGAGGTTTTCCTTGACATGTGACAAGTTTTTTCTTTCTTTCATTTCTCCTTTCTTTGTTGATATCATAAATGTTACCACTTAAGCCATAAGTACAGCTCCGTCTTTTTTAGCTTCCAATTTATTTCCTGCAGCTGCAAAACCAGAGGCACCCTGAAAAAATAATGAGCTATATTGTGACTGACTGTACTGATGATTACCCTCCAAATGAAGGGAGATATGTGTGTTAGTACTGGTTCTTCCAGTCATTGCTCTGTTCACTATAACTTTAGAACCATCTAGATAATAACTGCATCACTACCAAGTGATGTGCAGTAACTGAAATTAGGTCATTGTGATCTTCACCTGAACTGGCTCAAGATCGAAGAAGTTCAAGTTTTAAAGAATATTAGCAACCAGTCAATTACTTTAGGACTGTTAGAAAATGTCATTTTCTCATTATGACTCAAAGGCTTTGTACAGCACACTGCTTTTAGGTCAGTGTGACCCTCACCTCCACGTAAAAGATTAAACCAGTACAATTTTCATAATATTTTTCCAATCCAATACTTTTGAACCATTTATGATACAAAGCTGAAACTTCACATCAACAATGTTAACAGGCATTGTTTATTATGCTGTAATTAAGCCACTCTATGCATTACTAGAAGCAACATTTAATAAAATATTTCTTTTGGTAAATGTTTTCAGAAATTATACACAAATTCTAATAGAAAGTCACCTAGCTACAGGACCATGTCATCAAATAAAATTTTAAACATTTTACCGATATATATCAAAGGTAGTCAAAATCAACTGACATGTCATTTGTCTGACAATCATGATCACTGTTAAAGGTCAAGGTCAAATTTATTTTATTTTTTCATAGGTTTTGACATTATGAAGCAAAGTTGATCATAATGCAGGTAGTAAATAAATTGTTATTATTTAATGAATGAAATTAGGATTGGAGCTCAATGAGGTCACATTTGATTAAAACAGGTCAAGATGATATTAAATTCCAAGATGGCCACCTCTGAACCATTTTGTTGTTCTGATCAGTCAGAAAATTAAATAAGTGGAACTAGGGACTAAAGGGAACCTACATATGAAATATGAGAAGATATAATAAACTTTTACTGTTAAAATCCAAGAAGGCTGCCTCTCTGCATTTTTTTTCTGATCAATATATAAATTGGCAGAGCACCACTTGGGATAAAAGGGAGACAACAAATGAAATTTGAGAGAAAGTAGAAAGAAATTTTTTTCTACTTATACTGTTTAAGAACAGAAAAGAAGACAGATGAAGGACTATCTTATGACAGCAGGATAAATATGTTACAAAAGTATATATAAGGATGGCAAAGAAGAGGGGCATCAAATAGTGAGATAAGATGCCTGTAATGAATTGGTATATTACTGTTTTTTTTTGAAAGAAAATAATTGGCACTAAGAATCAATTACAGGACTCGTTATGAAATTATGTTTTAGATAATCCACATGAAATGGACAAATTATCTATAAAAGTTGCATTCACTTGATAATACTCAAAATTATGTGTTCAACATTTCATAACCGTTTACAAAATAAATGTAAAGATATCTCACTCGTTGTAGCTGTATGATATCTTTTTCTCTGAGCTTGGCACCATTGATTGGGTCCAACATGTCCTTTTTAATAATCTTCTCAACACACTCCATAGTTACCACGCTTCCTCTGGAAACAAAAACAGCCTATGTAAATGCACGGTATGAACCAGTACTTGTGTAATTTTTTACTGATGTTTTCCACTGAGAAAACTGTGAAAACTGTATGGTGATGCTTAAAAACATATCATTAATGTTACCTTAACTAATTCAATACATGTAACACAAAATGTGCATATTTTGTACTAAGAACAGGTAAATAGTTTCTAGTTAATTATAATGGTTTGAGAACAGCAAAGGATATGAAATTACAAAGGATATCACTTGTTACATTTTGTAATAAAAATAATTAACAAGGATTTTTTGGCTCTGTTTAACAATGGAAATTAAGCTAAAATCTACATGTTTTCCTCCAATATGCAGAGAAAATCCAGAAATTTTCCCAATTTAAAAACAATTTCAAAAAAAGGAAACTTTTTATATTTTCTGAATTTATACTGGCACAGACTACTGTAAAATTAAGGTAAAAAAACACTGTTGAATAGTTCCTAGTTACTTACGATGGTCTGAGGACTGCACATGGTATTGAGTTCCCAAGGACATCATTTGTTACCGCACACACATACCGAGCCTGAGACAGAAACAAGGTTTTATTATCTGTACTAGTGTTAGCAAAATTAATCTTTCTTCTAAGGCCAGGTGAGCTACAAATGTTTGTGGCAATAGTCACTGACAAAAGATCACATCTCCTCTTGAATTATGTAAAGTTAGCATCTTCAACAAATGAAACTTACCATTAAATAAAAAAACAATAGGTCCAGTTATTCAAAAGAAGCAACAACAACAAATACTGACAGTCAAAATCTAAGATGATGATTAGGTTTTTAGAGCAGTTGCTAAATTGAAAATGCATAGCTCAGAACATAGAATAGAGGTTCTTATACCACAACCAGTAGAAGATTAGTGTGTGACATTTCAAAGATTAGTGTGTGGCATTTCGATGACTACACAGTCTCCTTTATCTTATAACATAACCAGTAGAAGATTAGTGTGTGGCTTTTCGATGACTACACAGTCTCCTTCATCTTATAACACAACCAGTAGAAGATTAGTGTGTGACATTTCGATGACTACATGGTCACTTTCATCTTATAACAAAACCAGTAGAAGATTAGTGTGTGACATTTCAAAGATTAGTGTGTGACATTTCGATGACTACATGGTCACTTTCATCTTATAACATAACCAGTAGTAGATTAGTGTGTGGCATTTCGATGACTACACAGTCACCTTCATCAGACAAATGACCAGTGTGTATCGTACTAGCAGTGACAGACATAGTGCACAGGATGGTACGGAATAGACCAACTTTTTTGGCTGCACTACAGATGGTTTACCATCTTGTCACACTAATTTCGACCTTAGTGTACATAGGATTATAGTACAGCCAAAAAAGTTGGTTAGTACCATCTCATACACTACGTATGTAAGTGCTAGTACGCTCCACTCTGGTCATTTGCCTGATAAAGGTGATTATGTAGTTATTAAAAGACAGCCTCTAAACTTCTATTGGTTGTGTTATAAGAACTTCTATTCTACCAACCTGAAGAAAATGTTCCAAAACATAGCTCAGAACATATCCTGTCTACAAGTGATCGTAATAACACAAGTGATTAAATGAAAGATACATGGACAATGGCCAATAGATAAAGAGCAATTAAAATACATGTAGTTTATCATCTGATGGTGATAGACAAACAATTCCCCAAAAGCATCAAATGAAAAGGGAGATAATTTGCAAGATTCCCTTACCTGCTTAGTAATAAGTGCAGTCTTGGAGTCTCTGTCATTGATATCTGTGAAGTTCACAGTAACCAGATCTTTGAGTCGTAATGGATTCCCACTCATCGGACATTTAACTTTTTCATCCTGATAAAAGATAATAATAAATTCAATCAAAAGACACATGACTTAAAGGATAGCAGAATTTACACAGATTACTTCTAATAATCAATGTCAAACATTGCCAAATGTATTTTAATTTATTCTTCAAATTGTTAAATTTTATTTCCAATTTTCAAATTCTCTAAAACTAAACAAACCGGTTTGTTGACTTTACTCGGGCCAGCAGCTGGAGTCATGGAGGGTATCCAGAAGCTGGGTAGGTCTTTTGACCTAGCAGAATCCATATTGGAGATGCTATCTGCCTCTGCAGCTTCTAAAACAAAACAAAAAAATGAATAAGTAATACTTGTTACCTGTAAAGTTTGTGATTTTAAAGAAATTTTCTCAAGAGCCATTGTAAAAATGTAACAAAGGATAGGTAAGAATGAAATATTGAAGTATCACCTCTGTATATAAAATGCCTAATAGCGGATCTTCATGACAGGTAACATATCGAGACCTAGTTGATTAATGTAACCATAAAACACTGATATGTGGTTTCCATAATCTAATTTATTCTGGTTTTCATTCCTTACATCAGTGCCTTTTTCAATATGCTTTAAATATATTGATATGGAATGCTTGGCAAGAATGTATCGATCTGTTGAATACAAACTATGGATGGGAGGAAATTTAATGTGAAATACTGATGTATAGTACTTGTACAGTTATCTAGGTTCCAAAACATGTTTATAATACCTACTGGTACACTTATAGTGATTATTGGAGGAAGCTAGAGTGTCAGAAAATGTTTTCTTCATTTCCCATATCCCTTGTTATAATATGACATACAATTCTCTCATTGATGTCTATGTTTTTTCTGACTATTAGGAACATTTAACTCTACAATTTGAGACTAATGGCAGCCAACAGATCTACTGAAAGTAATTATCAGGCAGCCTGTACCCAGTAGGTCAAAGGCTGGTTAGGGATACCAGTGGTTAATGAACTTTTTCATATTTTTCATTAACCACTGATTAACTCTGAACTTCAGTACAATGGAGATTGAGCCACTGACCCCTGTAACCTTGGACTGTCAGCTGGCCAAAATTTGTGTAAAACCTTGTGTATCACTATGTCATTAAAAAAATAAAAGCCTTCAGACAATGTTTCAATTGCTATACAATGCCTGGGAAATATGTTCTTTATTGAAGGACATCAGTTACAGAAACTGTGTACCTTGTGAATCATTTTGAAAGCTCACAAGGTCCATTATCGAACATCAGTGAAATGAGAACCTTATGATCCTACAATTATCAAGACTTACTTTGTTTGGCTGCCGCCCCTGGGGCTTGACTACTGATCTGTAGGGTTTGTTTCTTTGTTTCAAGCTCTGCTTGTCTCAATTCTTTAAGTTCTTCCTTCAACAGATAGAAAATGAATAATAGATATAGAAATATAATAACGTTTATAAAATTGAAATATTAAGGAATCATTTTCTGGGGCCCTGATAGCTCAGTCAGAGAGAGCACTGGCCTTCGTAGCCTCAGGTAGAGATCAGAGGTACGTGGTTCCACACTCCCTACCCCTGACTGTTTGTCTTTCCCAGGAAGCTGAGAAGCTGACCATTTTGTGCTGTTATGGTTGTCTTCTTGGGCATAACTTTTAACACTAATTGCTCTTGATGATATGCAATGGGTCTTCTATATATAGTTGAGTTATGTAGCTACCAAATACTACAAGGAGTCCTTGCCTCAACATGACCATGGCTGATCACAGGGCAATAAATCCAATAAACAAACAAAAATCTCTTCTTTATCTGTTGTCATTTTCTCCACATTTCAATGTAATTTGACATGAAAATCAATCTCAACATCAATATTACATTTTCTTTTATGTAATGACACTTCATAGAGCTTTCCAGCACTTTGTTATTGTAAGATAAATCCACTGAATCAATACCATTGTTATGAACTGTCACACAATTAAATTCAGGTGGCATTAATATCATAATGAATACTGTGATCCAATATATCTTGATGTATCATAACTGCAACATTGACTTCATTCAGTCACTTTTATAGTTAATTAGTTAATACCTAATTACTCTCGGCAATGAATGTTGTAACTCCTACAGTACTGTACAGATATTAGCTACATAAAGCATCACATAGCGGGAATATCATAAAGCCACAAGCTATACAGATTGTCATATAGCCACTGGCTATACAGATAATCGTACAGACACTAGCTATACAGATTGTCATATAGCCACTAGCTATACAGATTATCATATAGCCACTAGCTATACAGATTGTCATATAGCCACTAGCTATACAGATTGTCATATAGCCACTAGCTATACAGATTATCATAAAGCCACTAGCTATACAGATTGTCATACAGCCACTGGCTATACAGATTGTCATATAGCCACTAGCTATACAGATTGTCATATAGCCACTGGCTATACAGATAATCGTACAGACACTAGCTATACAGATTGTCATAAAGCCACTAGCTATACAGATTGTCATACAGCCACTGGCTATACAGATTGTCATATAGCCACTAGCTATACAGATTGTCATATAGCCACTGGCTATACAGATAATCGTACAGACACTGGCTATACAGATTGTCATATAGCCACTAGCTATACAGATTATCATATAGCCACTAGCTATACAGATTGTCATATAGCCACTAGCTATACAGATTGTCATATAGCCACTAGCTATACAGATTATCATAAAGCCACTAGCTATACAGATTGTCATACAGCCACTGGCTATACAGATATTCTTAAAGCCACTAGCTATACAGATTATCGACTATCAAATATCCACCAGCTATAAGAATATCATCATCTCTACCTACACAGGATATTATATGTATACATTATATAAATACACTGTTTATTTAAGACTTTACAGACATTTTTCAATTTCAATGAAAGTTTAGATTTAAAATCTAATTTCAAGAAGATTTTATTTGTTTAGACATTACCTGTTCCTTGTTTTTTTGTTTCTCAAACTTTTTAAGTTGCTTTGCAATTTCCTTTTTCTGATGAAGAATATATTCCAAAATAGCCTCTTTGTCGTATAGGTAGCCATCTGGTCTACAAAACAAACACATCATTAGCAGCGATCTTTGGAAGGCTAACCCGTACAACAAGCTTTCAATGTTCTATGTGAACTGCTGTATACTTATTGCTTTGTCTTATGAATCTGATTCATTTAAGATTTCAAACTGATGTAAAATTGTTAGAAAATATCGCTTAATGTCTTTTTGAGGGTAATAAATGCTCAGTTACCTTATGTTGTCATAATTAATGTCTTTCTGAGGGTAATAAATGCTCAGTTGCCTTATGTTGTCATACTTAAATGTTAGAGTTGTTGCTATTTGTTTATTTTGTTTGTAATATTCTATATAGTTGAAAACTTACTTTTAATATATTGTGCTAAATGCTTTATGCAAAATGCTCAATGTAAAGTACTTTTAATGAAATAGCCCTTGAAATTTATGCTAAATATTCTACAGCTGCTCTTAGCATACAGATAACAATGTACAATTTGTGTTTTCTTTTCAGTTTGATTATTCCCAATAACACTACTTCTTGATCAAGACATTTTATATTAAGCGTTTTACATTAAATGTTTTGCATTCAGTATTTTACAATAAGCGCATGGCATAAACAATTCACATAAGGCAGTTGGAGTGTTGTTTTGGCTTTCCATACCAATTTAAATCTGTATTGGCAAAGTACCATGTTGTTTTTAAGGGAAAATCTAAATCTATATTCCTATGTACTGTACATTGTTTACAGCTTATCAATAGGTTCTCATCAATATCATTCATAGAATTTTACCTAGACTTGCACTATCTATAATTTATAAAGTGCACTATCTATAATTTATAAAGTTTCAGAGTTATCAAGAGAGTCTCAATGATTTTGGCATCAAAAATACACTAGTTCAAATACTTGAAATGGTGAATTTTAATGGCAAAAACTAAAATCTTTTTCAGGGAAGACTTCTTGATAAATAAAATATTGTAAAAGTTTTATGTACTTGTGAAAGTATTAACTAGATTGGACACAAAAATAGACATGCTAAATAACTGCAATCAAACAGTATCAAGGACACAGCATCATAGTTGTAATTTCTGATGTACTGTCATATGCTCCTAACAGCAAACTTACGTTAGGACAGGATTCTTACATGGCTGGAGTGTGAGACAACAGCAATCAAAGTCCTGACAACAAATAAACAGAAATTGTGAATCACCTGAAAAATATTCTTGGGAAAAAATACTAATTGAAATACTAGTTTTCTTTTATCCTTAACTGTTCCTTCATAAGATTTTGAAAGAAAATCTTCCAATTTTTCAATCTTTGAATTCATAAGAATAAAAAATATCTTCAATTTTTCCCATGTTAATAAAATTCATTGCCTTTCCCATGAACTTGCAGAACTTTTTCTTATCATTTCATGGCCAATAACTTACAAAATAGGTGTGGAAATAACTCCATTAAGACAACAAAAATTTTGAAGGTGACTCTAAAATTTGGTAAAACTCCAATCAACAGTAGTGAGGACATAATTAATTACTGGAATACTGAAGTAGTCTCTAGACAAACTCAACCAACAACAGTTATGAAATTGTTTTTATGTCACAAAAGCCAAGATAATATATGAAAATGGCCTAAAGATTCCTTCAAAAACTTTGTTATATGTTTATATTTTACATAAACTGAACATTCTGTATTCATGATAAACTTTTATGCCTTTAATCCACAAAATTAATATTCAAATCACACATCAAAATTAATGTAGTCATATTTTAAACCTGACTTAAATTTCAATGACAACGTTGAGAAAATAGCAACATTACAAATTTTTCTGAAACATTTGTGCATCAAAGTAAAACTGACAAAGTAAGGCGTATTTTATGGGCGTTTTTGACAGAGGGAGTTATTATACAGTAACAGCTGAAATCAGTGCTACACATACCTACAACTATCCAGCCTCTTCAGTGTAAGGTATTCAAGGCATGGATGTCTATACACAGATTTAACATATTCCTCCACATTTATAATTATATCAGTGTATTAGATGTCCTTATCTTTCTACTGTCTCCACTAAGGATCAAATCTTTTTTAAGAAATTGTTGTAAAATAGATAAAGTTTGAATTTTCTTTCGGATACTGTATATAGCTCTGTTCGTTTTATACCTTGACAGAGTCTTTGCCCAGTCTCATCTTGTTTGTACCATAACCAGAGGATGATGCATCTCTTTTCCTTTCATGGTATGAGTACACTGTTCCAGCTGTACAGTTTTTGGAATGACGTGTCATCTTGTCTGATACAAAGACTCTATTTGAAAAAAAATAACAAAAAGTTAGAAGCTTATTGATGGCAAATAAAGCAAATTGCTACACCAAAATGCATTTTATATAGGTTTTGAAATTCCCTGATTTATGAGGATAGTGGTGCAAAATGCAAAAGCATAAACCTGTAATAGGTGAATTTTGCATTGCTCTGGCTGGACCAAGTCAATGCATATAAATTTGTACCACACAAACTGGTGGAGCTGACCATCGTGAAGTTTCATGGACCAGAGAAGTCCAGAAGGCTGTTATGGCACTATTTTGACAGTTTTTAGATGTGCTTTACCATTGGTAATTACATGATAGCTTGGCAGAGTTTGAAAGTAGGGATATTCACCAGATGCACAATATCTGCCATACTTTTTGCAACAGCCATGAACCTGATGGTGAAAGCTATAAGCAGAGGCCCTTATTTAGCAGCTGGCATTCCACAACAATCAACTAGAGCTTTTATGGACCACATGACCTTGACAACGAAGACTGTGGTTGAAGGACAGAAGAGATGGTCTCATGGGCATGCATGAAATTAACATGTGGCGTCATGCTATCTTGGCCTAGGAGCTTTTCCAAGGCCACCATGGAGAAGTGCTAACCAGCAGGAATGCAGGAACATGACCCATGCAGAGATCAGAATGATGGCTGAGAAGGCTAGACAAGTGAGAGCTGTTGGCATGAGATAGCGAGGGGGCTGGACCCGCTGAGAGGATGCTGAGCAGAAGCATGTGCACTGTGCAGTCTACCTGCTAACAACGACAGGTAGCAGTGACAGATGGCAGATAAACGTGGCAGCACAACCAGGTTCTTAAAGAAACAACAGCATGCCTTGATTGCACCAGACAAAAGTAGCAGGAAATATTAAAGGGACCAAAATTTGTCAATTTCGTGAAATCTGGAAGAGGGAAGAAGGGTAAGAAGGGAAGTATGGAAGCAAGTTTGCTACTAGCTACAGCAAGAAACTGGGAATGGAAGGGCAGACATCCAGCAGAGGATGTCTTTCCCAGTAGAAGTGGTTTCAACACCACTCCACTCAGACATGTTGCTTTGATTCCCCAGCTCAAAGTAGTAGGTGATGATGGAGCTAACCATGCCTCGGGAATACAAGATGGAAAAGGAAATTAAACGGAAATGACAGAAGTATCAGCAGTTGTAGGATGGGTGACCTGTCAACAGCAGGGATGGAGAACTTGGTGTCTGCCTGTGGAGATTGATTGCAGGGGTGCCCAGCTAGTCATTTTGAACAGCCTTACAACTACCAGGGTACTTGAGGTCACAGCAGCAGACCAGAAGAAACTGGTGGGAGCAGCAAGCAGAGAGACAGATTCAAGCTTGATATGGAGGAAGAGGGATAAATGGTGGAGAGGTCACCAGGCACAGTTTGAGGCACATGGTGAAGGGACAAAGGTAGGCATCTTTGCCCATTGTGATGCAGCAAGCATAGCAAAGAGGGTAAAAGAACATCTTGGGTACCATGCTTTAACAACAACATGCAGCGGCAACAGCTGATCAGCCCCTGGGTGAACCTGATTAATCCACCTCTGGAGGGTGTCATGGAAAATGCCAAAATGTCTGAAGATGGAAGATCCACCTGATGCTGGAACTGGCCAGCACTGGATTTTTCCAATGTATTCAATGTAAGAATAACATACCAGGTCTCCTTGCAAGATTTTTTTCAACATCCACCTGATGCTGGAACTGGCCAGCACTGGATTTTTCCAATGTATTCAAGGTAAGAATAACATACCAGGTCTCCTTTCGAGATTTTTTCAACTGAAGGCTGAACATGTGAATCTTATCTTTCTGTTGGTATATATTAGTGAGATGAAATAAGAACCCTATTCGAAGAATTTGTTGTCAGAAAAAAAGTTCACTAATTAAAAAAAAAGCTTCATTTAAAAAAAATCAAACTTACGATTTTGAAGATGAGCAAGTTCGAAAAATACTGACACACTGAACAGTTTATTGAATAAATATTATGGCATGAACACATTTCAATACATTTATTTATATCATGCTTTGTTGTAATTTGTCAAAGATTGTGGCGATGACCACAACCCTCGAGATACGATTCTAAGGCAGTAAGGGGTCCGAAGCTAATGTGCCAAAGATATCTCTCATGTAACGTTACTGCAGATACAAAGAAATAACCTCTTGGCTGATCATTCACCACTCATTAGTAACTCTATGATATTTTGTAGAATTTCAAGAGGAATAATTTCCTATAAAACATATACAGACTACATGAGACTGCGGAACACACAAACCTTTCAGTGCGTCGTCTTCGGTGCAAGGTGCTTGAATATATCGTCGTTTTAGCGTTTGTATTCAAGGAGGAATAGAAACACATATCATCAAGCGTCTAGTGATACCGATCAAACTAATAAACTAAAAGTAGGGTGTAAGTGGTAGATTTCAAATGACAGCATTAAATATAAATTGACTTTATCCAGCCGAATTAACGACGCATAACTATGTTTGGACTCATTATATCGGGTCGGTTGGTAAGTTCATTATTCTTGATTGCACTAGATGACCAATCGTTTTGGGATTAAAGATGCACATTGGGTAATTGTAGTACATTTCCGGATTTTTTGCACGAAAAATGGTTTGTTTACAATTTTAAATAACACAAACTGATTATTTCTTAGTATGCAGATTTCCTTGGTTATTGCGCTTCATTGCTTTTGCAGTTTGATACCATTTCAAAAGTTTCCTGAACAATAATATTTGTCAGCTGTTGTGACCTATATATTTAAGAAGACTATAGAGATTTGTGAGAAAATGGTGAAATAAAAAAAAAAAAAAAAATAGGAAAGAAAATAAACAATATCTTTCCAAACTGAGATACAGGGGCATGTAACAAATAGTTTTAAAATTCCCAAGTGTATAACGCATGCTTTAGTAAGATCAGGTGAAATTTTATTTTTGTTGAGATTGAAAATAATTTCTCATATACATTATCTGGATTGTGTTAAGCATTTATCATTTTATTCTTTGCAATGATATAAAAAATATCCTGAAGAAATTGGGATCTTGAAGTCAAATTGTTTTTCAGGTACAAACAGATCCACAGCAGTTGGCAGAAACCCAATTTGTGTTTAGTATCCCCGATGTAGACAGTGTCAATCATGTAGTTGTCTTTCTCACAGGACAAATGGCATTTCCAGAAGAATTAGGGGCAGCAGGTATGAAGTGCATTTTCTCTGATGGAGTTAGTAATCGTGAAGCAAACTGTGTTTTGTTTATGTATTACTATGGAGACTAAAAACCACTGAAAGAAATCAAATTAGCATAGGGTTTATCCATGAGTTTGACTTTAATAACGGCAAAATAATGTTTTATAATCTGTGGTCAAATAGATATTTCTATTGTACAAATTTACGAGATCTGAACATGATGAAATAATACGACAGTGTATCATATTTATCTTATGACAAGATGTTGGCACCAACTTTTACATTCTGGTTTACAGTTATCAGCAGGTCATTTCAGAATTTGCAGTAATTTTATGTAGATATGGATAGACTTACTACCAGGCAGGGACTTATTTATGATTTTGGGGAAATTCCTAGTGTGAATTTTGGTTCTCTGTGAAACTACCTAATACAATGGTATCACAGTGTATTCAGGGAGAGATTTTATTGTCCCAAACTCAATACTAAAATGTAGACTATAACTCCCAAGCAATAGCAGATGTCTGTTTACAAGTCCATCCATACCTTGTTTTCAAAAACAGTTTTGGGACCATCATATTTCATTCTCTAGGTTTGAATTGTCATCTTATAATGCATATACCCAATTTATATCTTACAAAATTTAGCAGTGATATAGAAATATATATAATACAATGTTAAATATTTTTTTAATTATTCTTTTCAGTGTATTTCTCCTTCCCAAACCCACAAGGACAGACATGGCAGCTTTTGGGGCATATTTCTAATGCTAAACCTAGTGCCATCTTTAAAATCACAAAATTAAAACAAGGTAACACACTGAATGGTACAATGGGAATTTTTAACCCTCACCAGTTCAGTATATATCATAACTAAAATATCTGAAGTAATTTTTCAACCATTTGCCAGTCACTGTAATTATTGTTTTGATGAAAGTTTAGACAAATTCATTTAATGCTTTTCTTAAGACAGTATTATGAATATATTAAATATTCATTCTGAAGTCTCATAGTAAAACACTACATGTTGTTAGTTGTGTCTTTGAGTGTAATATTATTGTTAGGTTTGTAAGTCATGAAGGGAGATAATCCTATCTTTTCTCTCTTATTGAATTTGATAGGTTTTATACTATAAGAAATGCATGTTTGAATTACTTTCAAAGGCATGAAAGTGATATGTTTTTCAGTGTAAGAATTAATGTTAACCCTTTATCTTTTGTTTATTGCAGAGGATGCAAGTGTTTCTGGTCATCCCTTCGGCCAGTTTGGTGGACAGCAGTCTCACATGGCACAGATCGGGATATCAGTGGAACCTCTAACACAACTCAGCCAACAAACTCCAGTGACCCAAGCTAAACCGTCTAGCGTGGAACCATTTGTGGAATTTTCACAGAAAATGTTGGAGAACTTTTTTAACTATGCCAGCTCCTTTGGACTCACACAAGCTCAAATGACACCAAATCCTTCAGAGACCTATGTGCCTCTTAGTACTCTACAATCATGGTTTCAAACATTTCAAAGACGATTGCAACAGAACCCATATTTCTGGAGATCTTGAATATGTTTTATGATTTTACACACATATTTTTGTTCAGATTTTAAAGAAATACTTAATTTAGAGTAAATCTGCTTTAATCAAGCATTGTTATGTCAGAATTCCGTCTTGAATATACTTTGTAGTATATTTTCTTTCCTTATTCTAATTTAGTGACCTTAGGAGGTAATTCAGTTCAAACTCTTTGTGAACTTAAATCCCATATTTATGATTCCCCTACCAGTAAAACCAGGGGTAAATATAGTTTGCCTCTCCATCCCTCTGTTGCTGCAACTGTGAAAGTTTCTCAGTGCTCTTAATGGTTTCATTCTTTTAGGGATTCTCATCAAACTTCACACACTTATTAAACATCAAAATATCATGGTCAAGGGTTTTTGGGTCAAGGTCACAGTTACATTTTGTAGAAAACCATTGTCAGACCTCTAGTGACTTCATTCCTAGAGGGATTCTTATCAAACTTCACAATTTATTAAGGATAAAATTATCTATGACCATTTAGAGTTTCAGGGGTGTAGGTCATGGTCATTGTTACTATTTCTAGAAAATTTGAAAGTCATTACATTGTAATATCTTGTTTGGGTAGGTAAGGGAAATATATTGCTTCAGCAATACTCAGTATGCTTGTTTTCTTCTACAAATGTGAATTTGTTTGTCAAAAGATTGAACAAGAATGAAATACTGCACAATGTTGTTTTCACATTTCAGTTGATATGGCTGAAGAATATCTAGCCCTGTATATACAGGCACCCTGGCAATTGTTTGTGTGTCTGGTCTATCTACATTTTATAGTTTCACTGTTAGTAGATATGCAGGTTTTAATTTCTGATTGGATATAACCAGGGTTGTATAATATACACTTGTATGCAATTACTGAATACAATGTATTTCCAGATGTAATGCCGGTAACAGCAGAGGTTTGACATGAAAAACTTTTATGATGGTTACACTTAATCATCTGTATAATTTTAATGATTCTGCAAGAAAGAAGAGATTCATCAATACATAATTTCTTTTGTTAATCATTGAAAAAGGTTTTCTCTGGCAGTACATTTTTTTTCGGCTTCCCTGATCCTTTGTTCAGCTTTCTGTCTTTAATTGTATGGATTAAAGCTATATAATAGATTAAAATCATATTCATTGAGCTGTCTTTGTAACATTGCATTGAAGATCAATCTATTAAATCATATTATATATTGGACTGATATGTTGTTTGTTTCATGTGTAAGATGACCTGTTCAGTGACAAGATAATATTTAGATATCTGCTGTGTGTAAGATGACCTGTTCAGTGACAAGATAATATTTAGATATCTGCTGTGTGGCAGTTGGGTAATATTCAATGGCAACAGATCTACTGCGATACTGTGCTCTTGAACGAATCGGGCAACAGGTACCAGGAGCAATTTCTAATTTCAATTTTCTACATCCCAGACATTAAATGTTAAAAAATAGTATGATTCACTTGAAAAATCATTACCTGAAATTGTAGTCAAGTAATATCTGTTATATATTTATTAATTAATTTACTGACGTGAAATTAATTGATTCTATAAGTCATTGTAATCGTGTGGGCAGTTTTTACTGCTGAGTTTATCTCCCTTTAACAGTCATTGTTGAGGCGTTTAGACGTGTTAGATGCTTGTTTGTATGCTTGGTTGGTACAATTGCTGTTAACTGTGTTCTCAGTTTGGAATGCTACATTACTTATTTTAATTGCTGTGACCGTCATCAATGAAGCAGAAGACACTTTACCTTCCGGAGCACCTGCTCATACAAGTGCCTTGTACTTTTTGAGGAATGCCTTGTTGGTTAGTCATGTTGCCATAGTTTCATCGAATTGCAGTTTGAATGAAGATTCTGTTGAAATGTCGGTATTTTCTTTGTTTTTTTTTTCACGATAAAATACCTAAAGGAATGAAGCTGCTAGATCACTGATGAATTTGGATGAACAAACAGTAGCAGTCCTATATCTCATCCGACTTTCAGCTGTGAGGGTAGATAATGTTACTCCTTGGTTGACAAAACATGAAAGATAAATGTGATTCAGAATATCATATTTAGATTGTAAGATAGTGTGACAGACACGTAAACAGCAAGATTATGTTCACAAGGCCTCTCTTAGATTTTTGTATAGCAGTATTTATGGCCTTTGGCCAATATATCAATATACCTTTCATAAAAAACTCAAATGAGTTAATGTTTGTCATTTTCAATATATCAATATACCTTTCATAAAAAAATCAAATGAGTTAATGTTTGTCATTTTCAGTGCTAGAATATCCTTACACAAACACTCCCTCCTAATTCCCAGGTGGATTGTAAGGATGAAGTGTAATAAACACAGCATAGAAAAAGACACAAACTATATGATTGGCTCAACACTGACAGGGTAATGCGCAATTGTCAATTTCGTGAATTTTGGTTGAAAACGGATGCCAACAAGGATTTTATATATATATATAAAAAAAAACAGTGAAGGTGACATTGACCCTACAACCCTTAAACTCGAACTTGTCCGATATGTTATTGTCCTTTCATAATCAATATTGAGTATATTTTGATCCAAGTCTCTATAGGTGAGAAACATACTACTGAGTCCCTGACGTCTCTTCTGTCCCTAACCAGTTTCCCCAGGCCCGTTGAGCGTGACCCAGAGTACCGCCGGCCAGAGACCCTGGATTCGTCGTGGGTTGTCGTCAGTAGTCTGCTCATCGCCCTCCATCATCAGCATGGTGGTCGCCGTCATAGATATTTCGGGCCTTGTACATGTATATCTGATAGCGAGTGGCCCCACCGTTGAATGAGGCTGCTAAAGCACTGATAAAGATTTTCTAAAAATGGTAACACTGATATTGCCCTTTACCATGCAACTGAAACTTATGAAACTCATCAGAAGTATAATGTTCATGCGTTTGTATTTGAAGTTAGATCCCCAAGAATTTAAGCAATAAAAGTGATGAACATTTTGGGTCTAAAATTCGTACCTGTGTTAAAAAAATCCCTACATCTCTCCGACTTTCTGTCATTACGGGATAAAAACATATTTCTCTTGTACATGTAGTTCGGTTTGGTGCAGCAATATAACATTGGTTCAAAAATGTAAAAATATTAAAAGAATTTCAATTTTAATTGAGATTTTATAAAATAAGTCTTAAATCCTTAAAGTTTTTATATTGCAAAATATAATCTCATCTGACAAGAAAACAAATTCAAGATATTTTCAGCATTTATCTCAAAATAGTAATATTTTGACAGGTTTTAGTGTGAAAATGTGGTGGACAATATCAAACAGTGGCAACCATTTTGTTGTGCCATTTCCAATTCATGGCTTCACGTTATTGTCCATATTATGACATCACAATGTATTTCTGAATGGCGCAGCCAATGAAAAGCATGCTAGGGTATATTACAATAGTGACATATAGGCAGAAATATTACATATGAATTCATTGGATATAAGACGGCCAAAGTGAATCACCCCAAATAAATTGTATAGGTTTAAATATACACATGTATAACATGTCACTGGTCTACGAGTTTCCTACTGTTCACGAGCAGAGTTGTTTGGCATTTTGCCTAGTGAGGGAGAGAGTTATCGGACAAAGGCTGCTTTTTAGAACATAATATCTAGTCTATAATTCAGGTTTGTTTTGTTTTTCTGTTGACTGATCTGTAGACATTTAACACAGGACTCACCAATTTCTTATCTGTTGAAATATGTTATAAAGGTACATACATGTATGCTAGATGACAGTGATACCAATCATTACTGTACACATTTGATTTAATAATTTTGGTTTCTATTATGATTGATGAGAAGTATTTCCGATCTTCCCCACTTTGACCTTATCACTGTCACAGATAATTAACACAATGTTCAACAGTCGGATTGTATAATGCGGATTCTCTCCTTTGCTAAATATACACACGAACCCCATATCTTCCGAACGGAATAAAAATCAAGCCTTCATTACGTTAAGTAGCTGCTTTATAAAGAGTGCTTCCTCTTTGCTTAGGAAAGATGTCTACTTATTATGTAAATCAGACCACTCACATTTGAATCTGAGGTAGCCGATTTGATTTAGTGACGATCCCTATCACAAAGTATGATTTGCGTATGTACGGTGAGGTTTGAGTTGCGAAGTGGAACTTAATGTCCGATACCATTATCAAAAGTCATAGTATGCTAAGTTAATTTCCACGAAAATACCTTTAAATGTAGTCCTCCAGGCCCAGAGAATAATCTATCTCCCTTTCCGCTTTAAGTCGTGTTTTTACATATCTTAAAGACTAGGATTATTGTTGGAACCTGCATAAATCGTTATGCGGAATAAGAATTATACTATACTGAGAGGAAAAAGAAACGCAATTAGGAATTTCCAGGTCAACCACGGGAAATAGAAAAGGGTTTTAGAATGTAATTATGATGTAACTGGTAGATAGTTGACCACTCTGTCATCTACGAGAATTTCATACCATAACAAGCACAAAATACCCTTTTTGCTTGTTATGTGAAAATTAGAAATATTAGTCGACCAGTTTATTAACATTTGATACTTTGATATCTCTTATATTACTGTAGTCAGACATTTTGCTCATCCAATCTTCCTTTACCAGTAGAAACAGGTAGATGGACAGGAATTCCGTGAGAAGATAGATTTGCAATTTATGTACTGAGGAAGTAGGTGACGAGTTTCATTATCTATATAAATGTAATTCAGGTGTTTGTCAATCACGACGTAAATTCATTCCGAAGTACTACTTTAAATACATAAATTTACACAAAATGAAGGGTATGTTTATGTTATGTAATGTTAAATTACTCAACAATGATAGCTTGCTTTTTAATGGAAAAATAGCTAAATTACTGTAAGGTCATCATGTAATCTAGTTCCTTTTCTGTTATATTCAATTTACTTTCAGTTTGTTTAATTTAGTATATTTGATATCAAGGATTATTTGGACAATCTGTATTGTAGTTTCTTTAATGATGTATATGTAGTGTAACTGGATGGTTACTATCAATGTATATCTATAACTAGTACAGATGTAGTGATTCGACAATCCTGCAACATTAGTAAAAGGAAAATTAATGACATTTTTAGTGCCAAAGATTTACCAATTACTTTCCGCAAAATAGGGTGATATTTCAGTTGTGAATAGCTCAAACACACGTTTTGTTGCTCGAAAATTATAAATATGGATTAATTGCTGATGGTTGTGCAACAACCAAGTAAATGGATTACATAATGAATTTACTGGTAATAAATCTTAGTGAGAAATAAAATGTACGAGTTCATTGAACAATATGTGTAACATATATGTAGACTACAACAGATACCTATATAAACATGGCTGCACGGGTGTCCGAGTCTGATAAAATCACTCACCCATGACTGACCCATATCTATGGCTGCACGGGTGTCCGAGTCCAAGTCGGATAAAATCACTCACCCATGACTGACCCCATGCTACCTGACCGCTCACGTGTCTAAAACTCGACTAGTGGTAAGGGGACGTAACCCAAGGTATGCCGTAGAAAAATATAGTTTCAAAAGAACCTAAAAGCTTAAAAATCTCACCATATTTCAGCTTTTTCGTGAAAATATTGCTACGTAATTTGTATTTTTAAAACACAAGTAGCTCTCGACTGATTGGTTTTATTAGTTGTGTTTAAATTAAGGTAAAAATGTGTACCATGTATGCAAATTAGTGTATACCCATACAAAAGGTATATGGATCATATAAATGGAAAATACAAAAGGGTGGATGGTGGGCGAGTCATAAACGCGGTAAAATATCCAAAAAAAGAAGAAAAAAGGGTTTTAGGTGAGACTTTGCACCAGTGCTGTAGTGTTCTTTGTTTGGAAAAGCCTTTGTGGCTCCGCACACAGCGGCCTTTGTGGCTCCGCACACAGCGGCCTTTGTGGCTCCGCACACAGCGGCCTTTGTGGCTCCGCACACAGCGGCCTTTGTGGCTCCGCACACAGCGGCCTTTGTGGCTCCGCACACAGCGGCCTTTGTGGCTCCGCACACAGCGGCCTTTGTGGCTCCGCACACAGCGGCCTTTGTGGCTCCGCACACAGCGGCCTTTGTGGCTCCGCACACAGCGGCCTTGTGGCTCCGCACACAGCGGCCTTTGTGGCTCCGCACACAGCGGCCTTTGTGGCTCCGCACACAGCGGCCTTTGTGGCTCCGCA